CCGTCTGCTGTTTGGGGTTTGGGACCTCATCTACCCGATCTGCAGACCACACAGCATACTTTTCCAGCTTTTCTGGTTTTGCTCCCATCTGACTGGGGGCCCTTTATGGCAGCATTGCATGTGCCTGCCTGCCACACGGAGGACCTCTGGCCTATGCCGTCTTTCTGCTGCGAGGAGAGAGCAACCCCTCAGTGAACGGGGCCTGAGTGCTGACCTCCCGCATCCTCCTCCGTCCCATCACAGATGTGGCAGAAGGGTGTTTCAAGGAGCCAAGCGATGGCTACCACCTTTGCCCACGCCTGGCGTCTGTGGAAGGTGGATTCCACTGGAGGCGGGACGGAACGTCAGGTCTGACCCCTGCAGGCTGGGAACGCCTCCCTGGGCCTGCGGGCAGAGGAGGCAAGATCTTGGTTTCAAACTGGCTGCAGCCCAGAAGCAGCCATGAATCACAGGGAAGAGCTTGTGCCACCCTTGCGAAAGTGTCTCCGGGACACCAAACTGCAGCGGGCTGGAGCACGGAACATGCCTGCCCCCCCGCCCCCTGCAGGTGCTCATGAGAGCAGTGCAGCAGCAGCGTGCCTTGCTTCCTGTGATGAGGCAAGGCCTTGGGCAGGCTGCAGAGAGGGCTGGCCTGGAGCCGAGAGGCTGGACTATGACTCCCATCACGACAGAAACAGAAGCAGAGTGAGTCAGAAGGAGCCTCCGGGCCATCTGGTCTGACCCCTGGCTCCAGCCGGCTCCGCTCCTGACATGTCCACCATGCGCATGGGATCTGATGATGGGAGTTGGAGTCCAGAGCTTTCTGGAAGATGCCAGGTTGAGGGAAGGAGTGCTGTTCCACTAAGTGGGCTGCGAGAAGGAATGGGTTTGCCTCTTGGGCAGATCCACACTAAGACAAAGGGGTGTGAGACTGACAACATTCAGAAACCAGCAACTGCAGTGCTTCAGCCACCTCGGTCACCCCACAAGTGTTTGTGGGGGAGGGACAGAAATGGGTGATCAGGCAGCGGAGGCTGGTGGCCCCCCAATTAGCTGGACATCTGATCCATGAGCTTTTTATTTTGGACTTTATGGGAGCTGTCCTTGGTAGTAAACTGGTATGGGGGTAGAGTTCAGCACCACAGATAGTTCCTATAGAGCTCAAAATAAAAGCTGCAATGAATCAAGAGCCCCATGGACACAAAACTCACCAGGCTCTGTTGAACTGAAGGTGAAAGACAACTGGGCTAGAATTGCTTGGTGGGTTTTGTTCCCTGGAGATCAGCAAATCTTGGTCACAGAAGCTTCTCATTCTTTCTTGGCATACAAGGCCAACCTGAGCCAACGATCTGCCCTCTGCTGCCTCAAATCTATGCTGCAAGGCATCCAGCGGGGGGGGGGGGGGGAGACCTCCCCTGTCCTGCTGGTTGCCAGATGTTCAGCAGCTCCCAGGATTCCTACCCAGGTGCAATGCAACACACGTGGGGGGCACTGTGTGGGGTTGGCTGGTCTGTCCCATTGTGAATCACGTCAGTGTCCCACATTGGCTGCCTCCTGGAATTAACTGCAAGAAAAGCCAAGGGGCATCCATTTCATTGGTACATCTAGACCCTGGGAAGAGGTGGGGGCTTGTGGAGTCAGGGGTTTCTTTCTGGCTGTCCGTGCCACGAATCCTTTGCTGGTGTGCTGTTGGTTAATGCATCCCCCAGGAACTGGTTGCTTTCAACTTGTGTGGGTGGTGCCACCATGCAGGGGGGAGCTATATGGACCATAGAAACATAGAAACATAGAAAACAGAGTGAGTCAGAAGGGGCTTCCCAGGCCATCTAGTCTGACCTCTGGCTCCAGCCGGCTCCGCTCACGACATGCCCCCCATGTGGACGTCCAGCCTATCCTTGAACACCCGCACCGATGGGGCCTCAACCACCTCCCGGGGAAGCCCATTCCACACCCTCGGGGTCCTGACTGTCAGGAAGTGCTTCCTGGCATCCAAAGGGAAGCTTGGCTCCCTGAGCTTTGCTCCACTGGAGCGTGTCCTGCCTTCCTCTGCAGGGGAGAACAGGTCTCCATCCACCTCCGCGTGGCGCCCCCTCACATGCCTGCATGTCGCCGACAGAGCCCCTCGGAGTCATGGGCAGTGCACGGGCAGCTGCTGTGCAGGGGGGCGAGCGATCTGCTGCTGCCTCTCTGGTGTTTGCTCCTCCATTCTCAGTGCTGTCACTGGGAAATGCCTTTCTTTTGCTGGCTGTTTAGGGATTTAAGATAAAGAAGCGTGGAGCCACAAAGGTGGATCTTGGCCAAATGCCCGGGCAAGGCAGCCCAGGGCATCTCTCCACCATGGCTGCCCGGACCGTGGCCAACGAAGGGGGCGGCGGCAGCCCAGCCCATCCCATTCCCACAGACCTGGTGGCACTGTGGCTTAAGTGAGCTAAAACTACACATTTAAACGCCAGGAATATTTCTTTTTCATTGGCGTTGGCAAACACTCCGACGTAACCTGTAAGTGTGGGATGGCAGCTGTGGCAGGGAAAGGGATCGATAAATTTCCCTCACAACTGAAGTAATGCACAAAGCTGCCTGAAAAGGGGGTGGTCCAAAAGTAGATCTCCAGGCACTTGGACGCCAACTTTAGGATTCCTGGCTGTCCGCCATGGTGGCTGGGGTGGCTGGGAACTGAAGTCTCAGACATTTAGGGATCCCTGCTCTGATCTAAAGCACCCCATAAGATACTGAGTCCAGGGTCTAAAACCAAGCTGGTGCCCTCCAGTTGTATTAGAGTATGGTCACATACTCCTCGTCAGCTGCACTGTGCTATCAGGAGAAGACGGGACTTGTCCCACACATCTGCTAGCGCCTGAGTTCAGAAGGCTGTGCTGGGTCCTGTGATCACACTGAAGGCTCACCTTCCCAATCTGGTACCTTCCAGGTACGTCGGACTGGTTGGCTGGAGCGCATGGCCCAACACAACTGGAAGGCAACAGGTCAGGGTAGGGTGGTTGAGGCTGAAGGGCCACGGACAGAAAATGGATCGCAGCTCTGAGCATGCTTCAGCCGGGGTCATACGGAAGACTGGTGCTTCTGGGCCCTCCCGAGAGGCCTGGCTCCAGGTGTGGCCTTGAGCTGGCCAACGGCATGCTAGCCAGCGGGCTTCCAAGAGGCGGCCTGGTGGGGCCCTGGCCCAGTGGTCTATCTGCAGGCTCTGTAGAGCAGAGGATCTTCGGGTGGAACAGCTGAGCGCACCCTTTAAGTGGGATCAGTCTGGCGTGGCTTGGCCGTCAGGGGGCTCTGCACAGTTCCCACGCTTTGCAGACTGGCACCAGGGCCAGCTCCTGTGACTCCAAGGACAGCAGATTTGTCATAGATTTCAATGATATTGGTGCCAGTAGCTCAAGTCTCTCCTGCTGGAAGCCTTGGCTGCCCCCTACCCACTGCCAGCAAACACAACCCTCCTGGAATAGCGTTGAGCACGGCGTTGGGCAGCCAGCACGAAGGTGGGAGCCAGCGGGCCAGGCCTCTCAGCAACAGGGCGCTTGCTCGTGGACTCCCCGGGCCGTCCAGGTGTCCACTGCAGGAAGCAGGAGGCTGGAGCAGTTGGAGACCCCACAGGGCTCTTCTTTGTGCAGCAGAGCAGCACCTTGCACTGCAACGCTCGTATTAGAGCAGGGCTGGAAGCACCAGGGACTCCCAATGTGACTCCCAAGTGCCCACCAGAGGGCGGTGTTGTGCCGCCTCGGAAAAAGGCTCTGTCCTTCCACGGCTAAAAGAAGAGAACATAGGGGCAGCCTTCCTGGGAGTCAGACAGTCTGCCCATCTATTCCAGACCATGGGTCTTCAAACTACGACCCGTGGGCCGGATCCGGCCCGCCATGCCCATGTATCTGGCCCGCCTGAGGTCTTCAACTCGTCGAGCATGCGCCCGCTGCTGCTGCCCGCCTCGCCCTCTGTGCACCACCACCTCGCTGCGCGCATGGGGAGGCGGCAGCTTGCTTGCGCAGAGATCGTTTTGGACTCGCTCAGAGAAAATTACCTCCAAACAAGCAAGCTGCTGCATCGTGCGCCCACCGCTGCCTCGCCGTGCGCCCCCACCCTTGCCTTACCCACACCCCTTGCCAGCCCGCACACGCCGCTGGCACCCGCTTGCCAGCCCATGTCCACCACCAGCACCTTTCAACTGGCCCCTGTCGAAAAAGTTTGAGGACCCCTGGCCTAGACCAACCGCAGAAGTTCCTTCCTGTCTGACCTGGAGGTGCTGAGGACCGAACCTGGCCTGGGGCTTTGCCACCAAGCTGCAGCCTCCTGCTGTCTCCTCATGCATCCTGGCCCTCACTTTCACCTGAATGCGCAGAGAAGCCCGAGTCTTGCCAGAGCGCCACCCGATGCGTTTCTCCCACTGGGCAGCAGAGCGGTGACCGCGGGTGGCACAGCAAAGCTGAGGCCCAGGTCCCTGGGAGCCTGCTGGAGTCAAAGGATGGCTTGCATGCCTGACCACCATTGCAGCTGGTCCCCAAGGACTGCTCACAAGTGTTCCACCAGCTGCTGCCTCCCCACATGCGTTTTCCACTGGAGGGTTTCCCCCTGAAATCAAAGGTCCTCATCCCACCGCCCACACACCCCTTTGCACAAATAGAGGCGTTCTTCGGTGGCAGGGTACCTTCAGGACTTGCATGAAGAGACCCCAGAGCATGTGTATGCTAGCAGAAGCCAGTGCCAGACGCCCTGTAAGTGGGGAGTGTGGGCACATGGTCTGTTCACTGGCCCCCTGGGGGGCACATAAAGCGGGCCTAGCTGGGCTCCAGCCTCGCCCGGCAGGCTCTTGCACAGGAAGGAAGCCCAACCCATTCCTGGCCTGGACTCACACGCAAAGCACCCCCAGCGAGTGTCCACAGTGGCCCTGTGACTTTAAATTTAGCTCGACCTGCTAATCTCCGCAGCCTCTGAACTATGGAGGGAGTTCCTGCCACCACGGCCACCATCACATGGCCAGGCACTTGTGCTGACCTTGCACGAACCTTGACAGTGGTGGCAAATGAGACAGAACAGATGTCGATGTGCTTGAGAAGGAAAGCGGGCTGTGCACAGGCATCGCTGCTCGCAGCTTTGTTATTCCGCCTGCCATTCCAGCCCAGAGTCCAGTCCCAAAGGGAGCAGTCCTTTTTCTATCCCTTGGCTCAGAACAGGATGTGAGAGCTTGGAAATTGGAGACAGCACTTTCCCAATGGAGAGCAGAAAGGAATGAGCAGCTATTCCAGTTCTCTTGCATCTGAAAGGGGCCCCATTTCCCACATCCTTCACCATCCAGTTTCACTGAGCATCTGCAAAAGCACTTATGGATTTCATATGCTTTTTAATTCCATGGCTGTATGTCTGAAAACTACCAGCAGGCGCCCTTCTCTGCAGGTCTCAGCTTCTCTCCATGTGGCCATGGTTTGAATGGATGCTAATATATCATCTCATCCCAATGTACCAGCTGGCTGAAAACAACAGCATTTTTGATGGAAGTGAGTAAAAAGTGAGGGATAAAAGGCAAACTTATCACTGCTGGGGCAGTGCAGAAGGCAGCAGCAAGTCCAATCGAAAAGGTAAGATACTTGATATCTGGAGGAGAAAGGTGGAATCTTCCACTGACTGCAGAGTCACAATTTAATGCGAATCAGTGCCAAAAGTAATGGGAGGGCTATACTTTTATTAGGATCACCTAAAGCATCAAAAAGAAGCAGTGAACAAGCTTTTGAATTCCACAGGTTTCTTCTCCAGGCTGGGCGGTAAGCAAAATGAACTACCAAAAAGGTGGACTGGCATTTGGCAGGATCTGAAAAGCTCCCGAAGGCCAGCAGGGTGAGGACGGAGTGCAGGGTCCAGCTGGGCCATGGTGGGAATGCATAGATTTCGGACTGCACTGAGAGGTGCCTGGATCAAGCCAGAGTGATGGCTCCCCTTTGGGGGCAGAGCAGCCGGCCGCTACCCGGGTCCACCTCTGGCACTAAGCGGAAGATGCAGCTCTCTTATAAAGAAACCAAAAACAGAGGGGCATGTGCAGACTTCCTAATGTGCGCAAACTTTGAGATTGGAAGGGTCAGCGGGTGCCAAACTGGGTCGTCTTACCTCGTGGTATCAGCGAAGTCCTGCCAAGCCCTAGCAGGGCAGATTCCTCCAGGTTTTTTGGTCGCCCTGCAGGATGGCTACAGTGGGCATTTTTTGTGGGGGAGACGACTTGACACATGGGCCCTGCGGGTAGGGGTGCTTGGAGCTGCCAGCAGCCTGTAGCTCAGACTGGGGGCTGGACCTGCCTGGGTCCCAGGCAGACTTCAGGTGGTCTCGGCACTTCAGGTTGCCCAGGGCCTCTCTGCTCAGCCGGCACCAGCCACCCCCTGCACCTTGCACGGGCCAGTGCTGCAGCCGCAGAGGCCGGGGGCCAGGCTGTTTTCTTAAATAGCAACAGTGGCAACATTAAACACTGGGAATAAAGAGGATGGGGCTAAAGGGGGGAAAGCTCTTGGAGGAACAAGAATCAATAGAAGGGAGGGGTGAAGGGAGGGGCAGGTGGGGAGGAGGTATGGAGGAAGAAGGCAAGAAGAAGTGATGGGAGGGGTGAGCCTTTGAGAAGCACATGGAGGGAGCAGGAAAGCCAAGAAAATGAACTGCCTTCCATGCTTACAGCAGGGGCACCTAAACTTTTTGGGGCAGTGAGCATGCTTAGAAATTCTCAGTGTCATGGGCACTCTCACAAAATGGCTGTCATGGAGGGGCTTGCTCATTCATAAAATGGCTACTATGGTGGGCATAGCCAGTCAACTCGTTTCCTCAAAGACAAAGCACTGAGTTTAATAGAAAAGACACTAGCCCAAAAATCTAAGGGCATTGCAGAACAGGGGGTGGGGGGGGGGAGGGCTGGGGTCCAAAGTACAAAGCCCCTCTTCCAGACTCTGGTACGGAGCAGCGAGCAGCATTTTGCTCTGCAGCATGGCTTTCTCCCCATTTAAAGTAATCTTAAGGAATCAAGGGAGAAGCAGGGAAGACTGGGGGCCAGGGGGGTCCGTGGGTATTGCATCTGGAACCCCAGCTCTCTGGATCAGCACGTTCTACCCAGCACGGGGAGGCTGAGTCCCGAAGCCCCTGGAGCCCATGTCAGTGTGGAAGAAAGTTGACCAGTGGGACAGCCTGCCACACGGAAGCGCAGAGTGCCACACGGCTCTCCAAGAGGGCTCGGCTGGCGAGTGGCTGGCAGCACCGTCAGCAGCCAATTCTGCCGAGCTCTAGTCTTACTTGACACCATTTTGTGACTGTTGGACCTTCGTTATTTCCAGGTTGCTCCGGGGCGCCTGGAGACTCCCAACTCAAGTTTTTGATGGGATTTTTCCCCAGTTGCCCTCACCTATGAGAAATGGAGCGGCTTCTAAGGAGGCAGTTTATGTAAAAGCAAGTGGCAAACGACCAAGGGCAGGTGGGATCATAACAAGCATTTTCGGTTTGTTTAATGGCTGCATCTGGAACACAGTCCAACATGAAAGCCTTCACTGCTTCAGGGAAACAGTCCCTCCACAAATTGAAAACTGCAGTTCTGCCTTACTCCTTTCAGTGCTTTTTAAACTCACATCATAAATCTAAGATGAAGAAGAATCTTTTAGGAACTACAGATTTTTAAACATTAAATGCAGTCATGCTACATCGCCATCATATATCAGTCCCTTAAAAAGCCATTTACAGGATTGCATTTGTAAATCTACGATCTTGCTTGTCCTCTAAACCAGGGTTCCTCAGACTTTGTCAGCAGGGGGCCAGTTGGAAGGTGCTGACGGTGGGCGTGGGCCAGCAAGGCGGTGCCGGTACCAGGCGCCGGCCGGTGAGGGGCGGGTGTGGGAGCGGGTGTGGTGTGGGCGGGTGCGTGCGCAGCACGGCGGCAGCGAGGCGAGGCGGTGGCGGGCACACACCTGGCGGCACCTTGCTCGCTCGGGGATCATTTTCTCTGAGCGAGTCCAAAACCATTGAGGTGGGCCGGATAAATGGGCATGGCGGGCCGCACCTGGCCCACAGGCCGTAGTTTGAGGACCCATGATTGAAGCAATTGCATTTTGCGCATCATCTGGAATTATTAGAGTTTAGGGCAGTCCCGCGGCTAGAGGTTGCCAGTGGGCCATCGGAAGAGGCAAAGTCACTGCTAAACAGCCGGGACAGTTCCTGCCATGCCAGCCGAGGCCTCGAAGGGGAAGGGCGTCGTTGGGGTTCTGCTGCTCCTGCACTCAAGTTCCAGGTTCTGAAAGTTGCAGGCGGCCAGACAGGAACACCTGGAAGGTCATCAAAATCTTGGCAGGGGTAGGATGTCTTCCTCAGTGTATGAGTCTGCCTGGGGTAGGAGCACACATTTACTGTGAAAACTGCACTCCAGGGTCCCTTCTGCCACGAGTGAACAGCGTAGTTTGGACACTGGAGTCTCAACGCCCAAGAAGGGGAAACATCAGCTGGGCTCAGGCAAAGGGTGCTCAGTTTTCATGGCTAACACAAAATCCCACAAATCAATAACTACCCACACTCGACCCATAGACGAACCTTGAGTGTGTGCTGTTGTGCTGCCCGAACTCAGTCTTTGTGTGAATATTGGTCAGGGGGACGAGTGTGGCTTCTCCAACCAACGTGTTTCTGGAATGTGACAACAGCCACTGCCGTGCTGCCATCAGAAAGCTTCCCGCTTCTTGCCAGGGGAAGTGCCAGACGACCGGAGCAGGGCTAATGTCGTCCCCACCTTCAAGAAAGGAAAAAGAACTTGAGAACTACAGACCAGTTAGCCTGACATCGTAAAGAAGTCATGCTACAACAATGTAGTTGATCACTAGAAGCCAACATGGGATTCTCAAGAACAAGGCTTGCCAAACTAATCTGATCTCATCTTTTAATTGGGTAGCCTCCCTGGTGGACTGCAGGAATGCTGTGGACGTAATACAAATTGACTTCAGCAAAGCTTTTGGCAAAGGGCCCCATGATCTCCTGATTAGCAAACTAGCTCAGAGTGGGCTAGACGGGGCAGCCATCGGGTGGACCCACGGTTGCCTACGGAACTGGACTCCAAGAGTGCCCATCAAGGCACCTTCTCAAACTGGGGAGAGGTGACAAGGGGGGGCGCCGCAAGTTTCAGTCCTGGGCCCGGTGCCCTTCGACGTTTTTATTAAGGAATTGGATGAGGAAATGCAGAGAATTACTATCAAATTTTCAGGGGACAAAAAACTGGGTGGGATAGCTAATACCCCAAAACATAGCTAATATCCTGATGATACCCTAATACAGAAACAAGGTTCAAGGAGATCTTGATAGGTTGGAGCACTGGGATGAAAGCAACAAAATGAAATTCAATAAGGACAAATGCCAAGTTCTGTATCTCAGAAAAAGAAACCAAATGCGTTGTTACAAGATGGGGAAAACTTGGCTCAACAAAACTGCAAGTGAAAAGGATCCTGGAATTGTTGTAGATCACGAGCTGAATAGGATTCAGCAATGAGTTATGACTGCAGAAAGGGCAAGCACTCTTTCCAACTGCGTTAACAGAAGTCTCACTTCCAAATCACGTGAAGTACTAGTTCCCCTGTACTTGGTGCTGGTCAGACCTCACCTGGAGGACCGTGTCCAGTTCTGGCCACCACAGTTGAAGAAAGATGCAGACAAGCTGGGAAGGGATCAGAGGGTGATCTGGAGACTGAAAACAGAGCCCTGTGAGGAGAAATGGAAAGAAGTGGGCATGTTCAGCCTGGAGGAGAGGAGACTGAGCGGAGGCAGGAGAGCACTTTACAAGGACTTGAAATGCCGTCATGGAGAAGGTGGCCAGGATCTCTTCTCAACCGTCTCAGAGGGCAGGACATAGAATAATGGGCTCAAGCTCCAGGAAGCCAGGTTCCAGCTGAATGTCAGTGAGAACTTCCTGCGGGCTAGAGAAATACGACAATGGAACGCGTGGCCTGGGGAGGCGGTGGGCTCTCCCACACTGGGGGCATTCAAGATGCAGCTGGACAGCCGTCTGAGAGGGACGGTTTGACTTGGTGCCCTGCACTGAACAGGGGCTTGCGTCCGATGGCCCTCTGGCCCCTTCCAACTTTACGATTCTATGATCTGTACATACCGTACCCCAACCCCCAACCACTTTTCTAAATATTTTCTTTGGAAAGTCACAGGTTTTCAGACTGCCCATTTTTTTTGAGTTTTCAGCAATCAGAAAACTGAAAGGCCTTTGAATCCTCTTTGGAGTAGGTTGAGAGGGTGCCTGCAGCAAGACTAACAGGGGACTATTTTAAATAACTTGTGTAGCACAGTCCTGTTCCCAGTGGCTGACAGCAAGTTCCACTGCGTTTCATGGGGCTTCCTTCCAGGTAAGAAGGGCGTCGTTATAGCAACAGCAGAGCACCAAATAGGAAATATTTATAAATTGCTCCGGATGAAACTGCTGTGTTTCTGCCAATACAAGGTCATGCAGAGCTGTCAGTGACACACGGAGACAAGCACCAGGGATGTGTTTGGGCTTCATGGCCAGCTATAAATAGCTATTGTTGTCTTGGTCCTGGGGAACAAGAGATTCCAACAGGGGGAGGTAATTGTTCATAGCCAGGCTGCTGCAAAGCAGTTGCTATTGTGCTCTGAGAAGGCAATGCACTGAGTAATTCGAATCTCCTGTGAGCCAAAGCTCCCAAAACAGAGGAGGCTGCCCGGAGCAGCTCTGCATGAGTCGCTGCTCTGGGACTGTTTCCTTCCAAACAGAAGGGTCATCCTGAGCAGCTCCAGTGTTAGCACTGGACTGTAAGACTGTGATGTGCCCTCAGTTTTAGTTCTCAGTGAAAATGCCTGAAGCTACTGGAGGTCTGGGGAAGGCTCCAGCGCCTCGGGGTGGGGAGGATGGGACGAGGATGGGGATGGGGATGGGCAGCTTTCCGCCTACACAGGCACATGTGGCCTTTTCACTCACACGGAACTCATGGGTTGTGCTGTCCAAGCGCTCGGCTTCAGGTTCTGCAGCTGTCCGGCTCCGGCAGCTCCTGTTTCCTGTCTGCCCTGCAGATGTCGGGGGGCGTCTTCTCCCCCTTGGAGAGCCTGTGCGACTTGGACAATGCCAGCTGCCACCCGCTGGTGTGTTTCCTGTGCCATGCGCAGTATGAGCACCCCTGCCTCCTGGACTGCTACCACAACTTCTGCGCCAGCTGCCTGCGGGGGCGCGCCATCGATGGCCGCCTGACATGTCCTCTTTGTGGGTAAGGACCACCGTGCTTGCTCAGCCCAGGGGGGCAGTGGGTCCTTGGGGCTGGGGGTTGCCAGCAAGTGGGGGCCTCCTGCCCCAAGCAGCCCAGTGGCTGGAGCAGAAGCATGGCCCTCAGGGGCAAAGGGCTGGCTTCCCAGCCAGAGTTATGCGGCTCCTGGAGACCTGCCGGCAGGGCAGGTGCCAAGCTGCCCTGGGCCATGGCGCACCCACCTCCCGTGCCAAGGAGGCAGGGACATTGCTCTCCCTTCTAAGCCCCGGTAGCAAGTGGGGCGGGTAAGGCTCATTAGGGGTGCCTTGTTCACCTGGCCATTTGGGGGGCCTGGAATAGGTCCGTGCCCAGCTGGGACTGAAGCAGGGCCTCGGGGAGAATGGCTGGCAGAGGGCCTTTGCTGGCGTTGAAGGAGACCCACGTGGCCCAGCGGTGCAGAGATGCCCGGCCGGGGCCCGCATCACAGAGGGGTGGCACTCCAGGGCTCACTCTTCGCATGCACGGCCATTTCCCTGCCTTGCTAGCGGGGGTTTCTGGGGTTCCAGGTGGGTGGGCTTCTCCTTGTGGCTTTCTCACGTCTTCCCAACTGTGGCTGTCAGACTAGGCAGTGCTCCGTGCTTGCCCACGTGATACGGACAGCGTCATCCTCCAGGAGGTGGGTGAGGGAGCAGGGGAAGTGGCTGTTCTGGGGGGCAGTGTGGCCCACTGGGGGCTCCAGCTTGCGAGATCTCAGCCCTTGCCCCCACACTTGGCCGTGCTGCTCGCTGGGCGACTGGGGGCCTGGCCTGGCCCTCAGCCTGACCTTCCTCACTGGGTAGCTGTGAGGATGAAATGGAGAAGGGGAGTGGAGGAGGGATACAGACGCCTCCTTGGGAGCCTCGGAGAACAACGGCAAGATGCAAGTCGAAGGGACGAATGCCTCCAGCAGGGAGGAACTCCGGACCGCTGCGAAAGAGCGGACTGGGGAGGGCAAGCTGGCTGCAGCCCGGGGGAAAGGGGCCATGTCCTCTCGGCACTTGTGACTGCGAGGGACGCCGGCACTGAGCGCACCGGAACGTGTGCCTGGCCTTGCGGGAAGGAGGCTTCACAGAGCACAGAGAGAAGTGGAGCCAGATTGCTGGTTAGGAGGTCCCATGGAGAAGAGCACCGAAGAGAGGTGGCAGTTTGGGAAGGGGGCCTCTGAAAGAGGTCAGTGTGGCTGCGCAGGGCGGAGCTGGGATTTGCAGTCCAGTAGAAAGATGCGTGGGGAGGTGGGCTTGTTCCCGAGGGATAGGGCAAGAGAGTGCTAAGAGGGCCGCATCTTGGAATGGGCTTGTGAGGGGTCTGGAAGTCAGTTCCTACACGGACCAGTTGAAAGAGCAGCTTACATTGCCTTTCCCCTCTCCATTTATCGTGTCACAACAACCCTGTGAGGTAGGCTAGGCTGAAAGTCAGAGACTGGCCCACAGCCACTTAGTGAGCTTTTGTAGCCAAGTGGGGACTAAACCAGCCCAACAGTCTCACTACTATGCCTCACTATTTGTTTCCCACCACACACTGCAGCACTGGCTTTAGCAGAAAGGTGGGCTATGCCCTGCAGACGGAGTTCGGGGGCCACTGACCCAGCCCTGGCTTCCCAGGAAGGGAGGCGGCGAGTGGGCAGGCCGAGGGTTCTGGTGGTACGAGTCCCGTCCTGGATTTGCCTGTTGCTGCCAGAGGGATCAGGGGCCTTGTGAGTCCCCGAGAGGGGGCCCGGAGTGCTCCGCAGAAGACGCGGAAGGGTTTGCCAGGCCCAGAAAGGAAGAGTGCTCTGTGTGGGCCTGTCATTTTCCCACTCCATTTTTGCTGGCTTGAGCATTTTCCCCATTGGGAAATCTCCCTCTTTGTTGACCCATTTGAGTTTTCATGAATATGTTGCTGTTGCTAGTCACGAAGTCACGTCCGACCCATCACGACCCCATGGACAACATTCCTCCATGCTCTCCTGGAGTCCACCAATATACAGCCTTGCTGAACTCCTTTCCCAATTTTGAACCAATCAGTCGTTCCATGTCCAGTTCTCACTGTTGCTTCTTGACCCGCATACAAGTTTCTCAAGAGACAAATAAGATGGTCTGGTACTCCCGTCTCTTTAAGATCTTGCCACAATTTGTTGTGATCCACACAATCAAAGGCTTTAGCGTAGTCAGAAGTAGATGTTTTCTGGAACTCCCTAGCTTTCTCCATGATGCAGCGTATGTTGGCAATTTGATCTCTAGTTCCCCTCCCTCTTTGAACTCCTGCCTGTACTTCTGGTAGTTCTTGGTCCACAGATTGCTGGAGCCTAGCTTGTAGGATTCTGAGCATAACTTTGCTAGCATGTGAAATGAGTGCAATGGTGCAGTAGTTTGAACGTACTTTGGCATTGCCCTTCTTTGGGATCGGAATGTAAACTGACCTTTTCCAATCCTGTGGCCACTGTTGAGTTTTCCAAATTTACTGGCATATTGAGTGTAGCACTTTTACTGCATCGTCTGTTAGGATTTTGAACAACTCAGCTGGAATACTGTCACCTCCACTAGCTTTGTTGTTGCTCAGACTTCCTAAAGCCCATTTGACTTCACATTCCAGGATGTCTGGCTTGAGGTCAGTGACCACCCCATCGTGGTTATCAGGGATGTTAAGCTCTTCCTTGTATAGTTCTTCTGTGTAATCTTGCCACCTCTTCTTAATCTCTTCTGCCTCTGTTAGGTCCAAGCCAACTGCCCATCTCACCTGGCGCTCCTGTGCCTCCCTTTCTCATGGCAGCAGTTTCCATCAGACATGGTGGGGGTTGCTTCCGAGGAGACTTGCCGGGCTGGAATTGCCAGTTGGCTGTTTTAGAAAACTGAATGGGCAGCTCAGGGAGCCTTGGTTCCCTGCTGGCAGGTGACCAGAGTAGGAGAACACCCTCCAAGGTGGGCTGGGGTGTCCAGTCAAAGGAGCAGTCACAGTTTCTCCAGACATATGGGAAATGCATGCGGCACATCAGCAGCCCCGACGGGACTACCCAGGCGGAGCCTGCACGAGATGCTTTTCAACCTGCAGATACATGCAGAGCTGGGAGGGGGCTGGGGGATCACTTAGGCATTTTTCTGGAGGCACATGAGCCTAAAGCAAAAATGGAGTTAGGACAAGACCATGCAGAACAGCCTGCAGGACAGGCAGACTTGGCACGCCCGAGGTGAGCCCCAAAGGACAGGCCTTTCAGGACAGGGCAGGAGCTTCCCTAAGGAATGTCTGGGAAGCAAGACATGCAGCATGGATCCCAGGCCAGATCAGGGGCCCCACCTGAGTCGCAAGCTGCTCCCGCAGGGTCGGGCTGTTAGTCGCCAGATAACGGCAGAGCTGTTCCCCCCGGCCTGGCATGGCCGATTCGATTGGGCAGCCCTCTGAAGGCAGCCTCTTGCTCTCCGGCCCTTTGCAGCCACCAGTCCATCGTGAAAGGAAACGGCCTCCCGGCAGAGGACCGGCTCCTGAAGTTCCTGGTGGACAGCTCTGCAGACTGCGAGGAGGAGGCCTCGTGTGCCAACTGTGACTTGCAAAGCACAAAGCAGGTAGGGAGGCCAGGCAGCCCCACCCACCTCTCTAAGGGGGCCCAAGAGGTTTCCCAGATGGTATGTGGCTCCAGGGCCCGCCGAGCCCCCCCAGCCAGAAGGGCTGATGAGTGGGGCCACAGATGAGGTCTCTAAAACAATGTGTGGCGTGGAGGCGGTCAAGAGGGCGGTGCTGTCCTCCTCTCACGTAAATCTCAAACTCGGGATCATGCACAAAAGTGGATCTACATCTTCCCATGGAGATGCGCCGGCCGCTGCCTGAGATGCCTTCAGAGGGCAGGAGACCAGTTCTTGGAGGATGTGCCCATCTGAGGCTGGCTGTATCAGCTGTTAGATCTTGCGTGAAAAGGGCCAAATTGGTGGAGGAAAAGCAAGCCCTCAACATTTCTTAAGAAAATGGCTCACAAGGCTGTTGACGTAGCATTATATGTATAAGGCAGGATGCCTTGGACCTGTGCAGTGCTTAACTAGAACAATGCTTTTTCAGTTTTCCTCATATGCTGGTGACTTTCTCATAGGCCCCCTCCCTGCCCGAGGATGGGAATTTTCCTCTCTCCTTTCACTCCTCAGCCAAGGACGGACGACCCTTTCGAGAGGAGGCTCAAACACTCCTCCTCGTTCTCCTGCAGCTGTGTGCGCACGGGTCTCCTCCTTAGCCCTGGGTCGGCGAGAACAAAGGGGCGCCGTCTCCTCCAGCACAGCGTGGGAGCTGGGGTGCCCCACATGGGCAGCAGAGGCTGGAGGCCACTAGGGGCTGGATGGGGGGGGGGCTGCCTTGATGCCTCATCCATGCACTGACTGCGTTTATATCCTGCCTTTGCCTCCAAGGAGCCGAAGGCTGCACGCGCACCACCCTTTGTCTCCCTCACAACAACCCTGTGAGGTAGGTGAGGCTGGGAGTCAGGCGCTGGCCCAAAGCCCCCCAGGCAGCTTCATGGAGTGCAGTCTTGGACCCAGGCTCTGGTCTCCCCAGTTCTGGTCCAACCACTGCATCATGCTGCTGGTCAGCTTCTTCACAGCTTGCTGGAATAAACAGAGGATGCAACTTCTCTCTTCGGGCCTCGATATTCTGGAGTCTGGCTGTTATTCTCCCGCTTTGCAAGCGGGTGTCTCTGTGCCAGTCAGGAGAGAAAAGGACGCCGTGCACGTTCTTCCGGGACACGGTTGGGCTGCTAGGTCACATCTGTCGTGGTCCTTTTCTGGGCACACCGGGCACGGCACTGGGAAACCGTGGGGCTGGTGCTGAGCCCTCTTACGTCCAGCCACGGGGAGGTGTGTGCTGCCCCCGAAGCCCCTCCATCTCACCCTCTCAGGACTTGGACGCCATGTACTTCTGCAACACCTGCAACCAGCCTCTCTGTGCCAAGTGCCGTGAGGAGACCCACAAAGCCAGGATGTTCTCCCGCCATGAGATCGTCTCGCTGGCCAAGCGCATCAAAGACGTCCACAAGAAATGCCGTGCGTACCATTGCACCCCTGCCCTGCTCCCCTCCCACCCCCCCCCCCGTGCCCACTGCGGGGCCATTTCTTTGCCCAGCACGGGGGAGCTGCCCCCTTGCAGCGGGGAGGTGGACTCTTCCCTCCCCCGAGACCAGCATGGGTGCAGCTCCCAGCAGGCAAAGGGGGTGCATTCTGCGCGCAGTAAAGCAACAGCGCCTTTGCCACAGAGGAAGGAAACCCGCAGCCTGCAGGGGGGCCTCGTGGCAACGCTTCAGCTCATCGGCGTCTCCACAGAATTGTTGTGGGGGCAGGCATCTGTGTCTTCCTTGCCTGACCCTTCCATGCTCTCTCATGGTCTCTTCGACGCCTGTCCTTATCATGCGAAAGTGCTTGTTTGGAAAAGGCAGGATGGCTCCCGAAGGCCTCCAGGCCGCTGGCAGTGGGGCTCCTCCGCCGGGGTGCTCCCAGGTGTTACGCAGATCCGCAGCGTGTAATCCAGTCCCCCAGAGGGCTGGTGGCATTTATGTCTTCATTTATTCGTGGGATTGTGCCACATCCAGGGATTCTGAGCTTTTTGCTTTACTACTTTTGGAATATGGTGATGGACCAGTGGGATTCTTGGTTTCTAAAACATGGGTGGGCTCATGTCTCTTGCAGCCCTTCATGAAGAGCTGTACATCATGTTCTCCACGGAGAAAAAGTCCATGCTTTGCATTAACTGCTTCCGGGACATGCCTGTGTAAGTTGTGATCGGTTTGTAAGGCTATCACGTGTCATTCATGGGGGTGACATTCTATAATATGAGCAAAGGAGAAAGTAGGAGAGAGGCCCCTGCCCGCGAGGAACCTACACAGTGTAGCCACCGGCAGCTGGGCGGGAACCGAGGGAGCGGGGAGGAGAGGCAGGAAGGGCATGCATGCGCCAAATGCTGCTGCAGGAGGGCCATGCGCCGCGGTGGCTGCAGTGCCCGGGGCACCTGCTGCACCTCACTTAGGCCACTGTGGCTGGGCCCGCACAGGCCTCCCTGGAAACGCTCCGACAGGCGGCAGGCGGGCTGCTCTCCGGGCCGGTTGCAGGGAGCGCATGGCTCCCTTGTTGCGACAGCTTCGCACGCTCCCAGTCCGTTCTGGGCGCAACCCCGGGTGCTGGCGGTGGTCCCTGAGCCCCACCTGGCCCGGGCCGGGCCACCTGGGGGAGGAGCGGAGCGGGTGGCGGCCTTGTACCCATCCTGCCGGAGGGCCCCCGGGTGGCTCTTTGCCCATGTGAACAGAACGCTGGTCTGGATGGCCAGCACGGCTTCTCGCATGTTCTCTGGACCACCGTCACGCACCAGCCCACCCGTCCCGCAGATCTTCGGGGAGGCCCCTCTCTTGACCCGGCTGCCATCAGAGGCAGCCTCGGTGGCGCCAAGAGGCAGAGCCGTGTGGTTGATGCTCCCAGGCTGGCTGCCTGCCTGCCACCCTTCTGCCAGCAAGCAAAGCAGGCCCCTGGTGTGCGAGGTGCTCCCTCGCAGGGGATTGCGTGGGTGCGCTTGTTGTTTGAAGGGATTGTCCTTTCCCTGTGATTTGTGTTTAATCCGGATACTTTCTTAGCCACATTGAGCACCGTTGGGTGGCAGAAAGCCAGGATCTTCATCAAGGAAATAAGAATAAATGAGTGTTCGGGCTTGGCTGCTGTTGGGCATGAACAGGCTGGGGAGGTACGGCAAAGGCCGTGTGGACAAGGTGAAGCCTGTGTGAGCACTGAAGGGCGCAGCTGCTGGACGGCCAGGCTTGGGGAACGGTTCCAGACCAGAGGGGAAGCCCTGGAGATGGCACCGTCATTCCAGCAAATGGGAAAACTGCTCCGCATCTGGATGGTTTTTAATTTTTTAAAGCACTGTAAAAACAGGGGCATCCTAATTTGGGGGGAAGAAAGAAAGGGGTCTGAGAGGAGGGCTGCGCACCGTGGGAGGGAGAAGCCAATGTGCCGGCCTCGGGCATGACTGGGCTTCACTTCTCCAGGGAGAGCCGAGCGCACTGCATAGACATTGAGTCGGCGTACATGCAAGGCTGCGAGAAGCTGGACCAGGCAGTGATGGTAGGCCAGAGCCGAGAGGCTCGCTCCGGGGGGCTGGGGCAGCTGCTTGGGCTGGCCGCAGAGCGACGGGGAACCCGCGCTCTCTGGACGATTCACTGCAGTGGGCGAAACATGCAAGCAGTGAGAGCGCCTGATGGAAAGGGGCAGGGGCAGGAGGCCAGGGGGCCGCTCTTGGCCGAGTGCGCCCCGCCTTGGCGGGCACAGGCTCCACGTGAGGGGCCTGCCCCCGCTCCCCCAAACCTACCTGCCTGACCATTTCCCCTGAAATCCGTTGCCTGCCTTTCCCACCCATGCGCCCCTTCTGCAAATAGGTGTGTCCCTGGAAGACAGGATTGTGCGCCCAGCTGGCAGCCTGAGCCACTGGCGTAAGCAGATCTGAGCTTCGCACTGCTGCTGTCGTGGTCCTGGGGCCGCACCCAGCCCTTTGGCTCCCTGGAGCCAGCCCCGCTCGCCCTGTGGCTGCAGCTGGGCGCATGCGTGAGCGGCTGGGCCTGCTGCTCCTGCCCTGCCCTGACCGCCCTGCCCTGCCCTGCCCTGACCGCCCTGACCGCCCTGCCCTGCCCTGCCCAGGCCGTGAAGGAGCTCCAGACAGCCACCAGGGAGGCCATCGTTCTGCTGAGAGCCTTGATCGAGGAGGTGCGCAACAGCGCAGATGAAGAGGAGACGTCCATCAACTCGCTCTTCAGCAGCATGCAGGTGAGCTGCAGGGGCTGCAGGTGGCCTCTTCCTAGCAAAGGTGGGGCCGGTGCTTGCTCCGCCCTCTGAGGCAGGCAGCCTGCTCCTTGCAAGCCCAGGGGCAGGGGAAGGGCTGCAGTGAGTTAGCAGCAAGAGGAAAGTCCTCTGCACAAGGCCAGAGACACCTGCCTGATCAGTACCCACCAGCAGGAACCTCCTCGAGAGGAATGGCGTGTGTGGGAGGAGGAGGCCTGTGCTGCCAACAGCAGGGCTGCCTGCCTGGCCTCCCCAGCAGGCTGCCTGCACCCACGGCCGCTCGCGCTCGGAAAGGCTGGCGTGCCTCTCCCAAGGCATCCCTGCTTGCATCCCTGGATGCTTCATGTTGTTCTTGCCTTTCTCCCTTAGTGTCTGTTTCTGCCTCTCAGGGCTGGCATGGGAGGAGGGAGGCCTGCTGGAGGGCTTCAGAAGACGGAGCGTAGGAGGGGGCGCTGGGGGAGCACCACTCTGCTCCTTTCCTTGTGCAGCACGGGAGCAAGCCCCATGGCAGAGGACCGGGAGCCCCCGTTAGCCTGCTGCCTTCCAGTGCTGCAAAGGGTCCTGCTGGCCCATTGCCAGTCAGCTTCAGACCAGTGAGATGCTGAGCATCAGCTTGCTCCCTGCCTGGGCAGCAAATTGCCTTGGCGGGGCCCTGATTTGGTGGCTTGCTCTGTTTTGTTTTTCTTGCAGGAAAAATTAGCAGAGAGGAAGAAGATGCTCTTAAAAGTTGTGCAGAGGTAAATGGCCCAGCCCTCGCCAGAGGTCGTGCCTGATTTTCCTGCGGGTGGGTGAGGTTCACAGCTTATCCAAACGAAATGTCTGTACAATGTAAGAATCGCACCGCCATTGCAAAAGGCCCAGAGTTGCTTTCCCATTCCGGTGCCAGGTGACCGTGTCTTCCCTTTGCTTGGACTGCCAAGCATCAGCCCCAGGGAAGGAGGTCAGAAGCAGCCCCCATCTTGTCTGTGTTCTCTGTCATGTCTTGCAAAAGGAGTGATTCACAGACATGTGTCCCAGGGTTGGGCAGAAGTGCCAGCTCTTTGGAACTTCAACCCTCAGTATTCCTGACTGTGGGACCAGCTGGCAGAGTTGGCTCCAGAAGTTTCAAACATCTGGAGATCCGCCTTGTACCTACTTGGGATGCAATTTTCTTCTCTGTCATTTTCAGTTTTCTTCTCACTTGACTCTGTTGCTCTCTGAGGTGTTCAAGGACTCTCTGCACCCACGATGGGAGATGCATCCAGTGTCACGTCTTGCTCATGAAGGTTCAGAATTTGGGTCGTCCCTGGAAACATCCAGAGGATGGGAAAGACCCTCTGATGGGGTTCAGACAGCACAAAAACCTGTACTCAAGGGTTGACTGTGGGTTGAGCACAGGTTGCTGTTGAGCTGCAGCCCACAAAGAGAACCCTCGTGTTGTCTCTGCGTTATGAGCTGTGGGTTGTTCACTGCTAGCCAGCCATGGCTTGCTAGTGCAGCTGGGGCGGGTCACGATAACCCCTGGTTCAACCACAGCCCACGCTCAGCACTTAAGTGTGGGTTACCGTGCTGGCTGAACCAGCATATCCAGCAGGCTGGATTCACATAATACCCGAAGTCACGGGGCGTGGCTTAGCATGTTGTCAGAACTCCCCTGCTTCCCAGGGAGCACCGTACGACTCATTCCAACCAGCAATGGGCTTTAGTGGGGGGGGGGGCAGTCAGGCCTGGGGGCACAGCAGCCACTGCAGCAGGGAAGCCCTCTTCTCTTCCAAGCCCCTCCCCCACTGCTGCTGCCCCCATCCTTAGGCTGCACTGATCTGACCGCCTGGCCAACAGGGAACAGGTGGGCGCCTGCTTGGCGTCAGTGCGGCTGCCTCCGTGCCAGGCAAGAGGAATCCTTGCCTGAGGAGGCAGCGGCGGATGTGGACGGAGGCAGCGGTGGAAGGGGGGCTTTTGCACTGGTTTGCAGCAGAGAGAACACGCTTGGCCTCAAGGGGCTGCGGCAGCCACTGCTCAGAGAGGCCGTTTTCCTCCACTGCTGTCGCTCCCCACTCCTCAGTGGTGAAAGCCCCGGGGCCTTGCGCACTGTGTGCGGCCCCTTCTTCCAGCAGCATGGAAGGGTGGCTTCATTTTCACGCTCTGCAACCAACCACCCAACCGCTCTAGCAGACATCATCCACAGCAGATTAGGCCCAGGTTCTTCAATCTGGAGCCCTCTGCATATGTTGGACTGTTAGGGTCCGTGTCGGTCGGGAATGATGGGTCTTGGAGTCCAGAACATCTGAGACCAGAATAGCTGACTAGAAGCTCCATTTTACAGCATGTACAGTACTGAAAACCATACTGACCCAACCTTGTAGTGATGCCATGACAATTCTGACTATGCGAAGACTTCCCATGCAAAGGCTGGTGAAGTGCCCAAACAAGAGGGCAGCCTGAGTGTTGATTAAAAGCACGGGGATGCCGGGGGCCAAGTGGCCCAGCCAGGGGGTGCCCCATGCCTGTGTCCTGGGCCCCAACAGGGCAGGCGACAGCTCTCCCCCAGGAAGGGTGGACAGGCGACCGCCCAAGGAACTCCGGTGGCCAGGTGCTTGCAGGTGGGCTCTGCTGTTGGGCGGGCACTGCACACAAGGAGAGCGTTCAGACCCCATAGAATAAGTGCCATGTCACATCCACCCACTGTTTCCCACTGCCACTTCTACTGGAGGCAGAGGGGCTGGGTTTGCAGGTAGAGTTCACCTACAGACAGCTCCTTTAAAGTTCAGACTAAAACCAGGCATGGATAAGCCAGTCCCTGACACTGGAGCCACCAGGCTCTGCTGGTCAATGGGCACCAGGGAGTCGCCTGCCTGCCTAACCACACCTGCAAACCGCCCACCTCTGCCACATGTTGCCTTGGAGGTCAGATCGCTGCTCCCTTCCTGACCACCTGGAGACGGGCTGACCCCAGGAGAGCCTGGTCTGTACTGATGCGGAGTGACCAGTGTGCAAACGCACCGGGCTTTGTGAGTGCAGCAGACCCCCTCTCATCAGTCTGTGTGCTGCTTGATCCCAGAGAGCCTCCCAAGTCCTGACAGGCCACACGGCAGTGGAGCAAGTTAGCCATAAACCATCAGCTACAATCCTCCCAGGAACGTGAGCCTGGCTTCCGTGCAGGGGAGGGTTTCACTGGGCAATTGGCTGGCACCTTCAACTTTTACAGGGGCTCAGATGAGCTCCGCTTCCCTTTGTAGCCCTCTGGCATTTTCCGTCACTGCTTCTGTCTCTTTTCTTACCAGAAGAACAAAACAAAACCCCTGTTCCATTAAGGATGAAAAGGCAGAGAGGTGCAAAAGCTCCTGATGATTTTAGTGCCGGGATCCCTCTGTCTGGAAACGCCCCTTGACATCTGGCCCCATAAATTCTGCGAATGAGTGAAGCTGCACAACAAATGCTTCATCTACAACCCCAGCTGCGGGGGGGGGGGGGCAGATTGGGGGAGTTGCACTTCCTGAGGGAGATGGGGGTCCTTCCGGACAGAGGGCTCGTAGCATCTGCCCGTCTGCTCCCGTTGCAAGGCGGCATATCAGAGGCAGCCGGCAGTTCAGCAAAGCCCCACGCAGCCGGGCGTCCTCACAGCACCCTCAAGCGTCGACATGCATGTCGCCACACTGACACTGTCCTGCTTCCAAAGATCCTGGCCGCTGCTTCTCCTAACCCACGCTAAAACGGGAGGTGCGCCTCACAACGTGCCAGGAAGGGAGTGGCAGTGAGAATGATCCACAGAGGCCTTTACTCTCCATATTTTCCTGAAAAGTAAGAGGCGTGGGTGGGCAGCCTGCTTTGCCATTTGATTGCATTGGGAACAACCTAGTCGGCTGGAGCAGTGCCTTATGGAGGAGCACAATGCTGTGGAGGGCGTCTGCCCGCCATGTGCCTGTACGGTGAGCTGGCATTTGATCCAGTGACAGCAGAGCCCGTTTGGAAAGGTGCAAGGCCGGAGCAGTGAGTCAAGCAGAGACAGGGCAGGGAACCTCTTCTGCAGAGGAGAGCCGCTGCCCACTGCCGGTTTCTGTGACCAACCAGGGTGGGAAATCGCTTGCCTCTGAAAGAGACAGGTGCTCTCCCTGCGGCCTTGGCATTCCCCTGCCCTTTGTATCGCCCCAAGCCCTTCAATCCCACAACTCACCTTGTTGAGACGTGGGGAATTCCGTCCTGCCTCGTCCTGCTCTGCCACTCCCCGAGCGCTCCTCCTAGCCCATATCCCACGCAACACCCACATCCGCTCTCATGCTCACCCCTGCGGATGAGAATCGGGGCCATCTAGCCCAGTGTCCTGTTCACACAGGGCCAACCGGCTGCCGTGCTGGAAAGCCCGCTTACCCTCCCACCCATGCTCCCCAGCAACTGGAGTACATTGGTGCACTGTCTGATGCTGGAAGTGGCATGGAGCCATCAGGGAGAATAGCGTTGAAAGCCCCCCCCCCCCCCTTTTGAAGCAGCTCAGGTGGGTGACCTGCATGGCCTCTGTGGATCCCATAGTTTTAACCATGTGCTGGCGAAGGACTTCCTCGATCAGTCCAGAACCTCCCACCAATCAGCTTCCTCTCTCAATTCTCATCTTTTGGGAGCGGCTTACATATAATTAGTGAGACAAGACTGCCCCCACCCACCACTTACTATCTGAAGAGACACAATACAAGAAGAGACACGAATTAAGAGGGAAGAGGAAAAATGAATCCTTTCAACAGGGCTGCTGGAGTGGCTGGTGGGGGTGATGTCTAAGGGAGAGGTCCAGGGCGGGAGGGTCGTGCATTAATCATTATGGCATATTAAAAGGTAGGTGCTTTAAATGCACATTTCAAAGCATATTTAGACAAAAATGGTTTACAACTTTGATTTCAGAAAAAAACCTCAGGCAGAAAGATTCAAGGTGGGGGGGGGCAACAGGAGGTGAAACCCACATGGGCAAACTCAGCTAATCTGTGGGGGCAGGGGGGCATCAAATGTAACAGAGAGCATCGGGGCTCCTGGACCTCTCCTTCAGCCACTGCCAATGGACAGTGGGGTGCGGGGGCAGATTTGGGGCTGCAGCCCTGGTAGGCTGCCTTCTAACGGAGCTTCGGCACTCCCTGTGCAAAAGCATCGTTCTGATGTGCACTTTGGTCCTCTCCAGCCAGTATGAAGAAAAAGAGAAGGCCTTTAAGGAGCAGCTGGCCCACCTGGCATCTTTGCTTCCCACCCTGCAGGTGAGCTTGCCAGCCACTCCAGCTCCAGAGGAGTCTGTGCACAGATGCATGCTAGGCAGGACTTCAACAGGTACGGCTTTTCCCATTGGTGGGCCTCCATGTCTGGAGATCCAGTGACAGAGTGATGAGACCGCCAAGAGCAGGCTCAGCCTGCCCTCACCTGCAGAATGGCCTGGGCCAGCCCCCATCTTGCCTGCGCCTGCGCCGCCGGGCTCCGGAGAGGGTGCGAGGCAGCGGCACGCTGTGCACTGTTGGGCTCTGCGGGGGAAAGGCAAGCTAAAAGTCTCAGGTGCCTGCTTATTCCACACAGACGGAACCACGCGGAGCCCTGCGTGGCTGTGCCTTTTTGTGGAGTGGCGGAAGCAGTTCCGCTTGTGTGGGTTTACAGGGCTCCGGGTTTATGCCTGCACGTTCTTCAAGGTCAGCTTTGCATGCGCACACTCACTGCGCCACACTGGGAGCTGAGGGACTCTTTTTCAGCCTGAACGTGGATGGGACCTGCACCCGAAAGCAGCAATGAAAAGAAGGCAGTGGTTCACATGTAGAAATCATGACACCCACATGACACCCAATTCTGAACACAGCAAAGCAAAATGGAGTGGGCAGCTTGCAACCTTCTGGGTGTTTTCAAACTGCAGCTGACGAGAGGATTTGCCAGCATGAGCAGCAGTGAAGGATATTTTTTCTCTCACTTATTTAATTGCATACCTCACCTTTCCACCAGGAAGTCATGCTCAGGGCAGTAAACAATAAATGCAAATTTAAACAATAATAACATGAATACATTTAAAACAGAATAAAAGCAGGGCCCAGCCTAGCAGACTTGTTGACATGCCTGCTTTCCATCTTTAAAATTACATTAATATGCTGCCTTGGTGACTTTGCAAGGCAGCTACCACTATGCTGCCCCTCTTCCTTTTCTCCTCACAACAACCCTGTGAGGTAGGCTAAGTGGAGAGTCAGGAACTGGCCCAATGTCACCCAGGAAGTTTCCTGGCCAAGTGGAAACAGGAACCTGCATCACACGAGTCCCAGACCAGGGCTTCAACCTTCGCCCCACCCTGGGCGAAGGCCTGCTTGGATGCAGTTGACTCCAGCTGCTGGCCAGCCTGGCCTGAGATGGGTGGATGGGGGCTTCCTCACAGTCCACACAGTGCTGTGTGTCTGGAGTGTCATCTCGTCTCCTTTCCTCTTCAGGTCCATCTGGTGACCTGCTCGGCTTTTCTCAGTTCTGCAAACAAGGCTGAATTCCTGGACTTGGGCTACGTAAGTCACTGTCCGGAGCCAGAAAACCCCTTGCAGTTGTCCCGGCCGGGGCGGCCAGAGGCAGGTTTGCACTGCCCAGAAAGCTGTGCCGGGCTCTCAGCCCAGGGCACTGTCCGGGTGTTTGGGCCCAGCCGGAGGGCCACCCAGGCGCGCTGCTGGGTCCAGGCAAGATGCCAAGATGCCCCGGCTGGGAGGCTCCGTGGCCTTCGTGCTGAGTGAGCCCAAGCCATTCTCCCGGGACCTGATCTGTGGAGACAACTCTCCAGAAGGACTCTCTGGAGTCTAGCAGAAGGGCCAAGTCTCGCCCCACCATAAAGGAAGTTGGCATGTCACGAAACTGACCAGGCAACCACCTCTCTGATTTCAGCAACTGATGGAGAGACTGCAGAAAATCGTCAAGCTGCCCCATCGGCTGAGACCCTCCCAGACTAGCAAGGTACAGCCCTCCTCCTTGCCTAGAGGGCCCAGCACTGGGTCCCTCGGAGAGTCTGTGGGTGAAGGCATGCCCTTCCTGCTCTGGCTTTGCCATCCCATGGCAGGGGGGCAGCACTGCAGCTCCTCTGAGGGGCCTGGAAGGGCAGGTGGCTTTGTCGACCCACGGGGAGAAATCCCTCCCAGCAGCTTCCATCCCCTGCAGCAGCAGGTCTTTGCTAAAGCAAAGGACCAAGGCACGGAAGAACGCTTCCTGTCACAACAGCACGGCGCACGGTGTTCGAGAGGCCCACTTGCCCTCGGCTGCTTTGGGCATTGCAGCGAGGTGGGAACAGTGGCAGAGGATGCCCCCTTCCTTCTGGCAGAAAAGGACCGGCATGCCACCCCCACGAGCTCCCCGCACCGGTCCCAGTCGCGTTATCCATGATCATGCTCCTGCCATGAGGTCTAGCTGCAGGATTTTTAAATGACATTTCTTTGGTTCCATCTTCTTTGGTAAAGACAGGGCAGGGTTTGGCATGTGGGGAGGACACAGGGGGTAAGTCACCTATGACAAGAAATGTGGGGCTACCCCGAAAGCCCCACTTGAGCGTTTGCTCATCCTTTGAGATGCGCCGCTGGGGTCCTTGGGTGCTCCTGCCAGGCTTCATGCTTCTCGGTTTTGCCTTCTTGGCACACGAGGAGCCAGGAAGGGGCACGAGCTTGCGATCCCAAGAGGAGCAGTCATCCTGACGGGTTGCTTTTCAGATCAACACGGAATACAGAGCGGAGTTTGCTCACTGCCTGGAGCCGCTGCTGCTGCTGACCCCACGCCGCTCCGTGGTGAACGCAGGGAGCATTGGGCCCGGGATGAGCAACAGCAACCTGTGAGTCGCTCGCGTTTCGTGGAGGGGGGCCCCCCCCCCCCCCGGCATACTCCAAATGTGCTGAACTACAAGCCCCACCATCCCCTCCCCAGCCAGCAAGGCCAGAGGGAGAGAAAAGCAGCAACATTGCCACCCTCTGTTCCCAACCAAGTCGGGGCATGGAAGAGCTGGCCGTGGGCTGGAGAAAGGTTGACATTTAAATACTGAGCACGGTTTCTTCTCCGAATCGCCCCTGAGCTGGGCGGGCTTCAGCTGCCCTTGGCAGACCTTCTCCAATTAGCAGCAGATTGGATGGGCAGGCGGGCCAGTTCCAGGAAGCCAAATCTGCAGGGCTGCAGCCCCCGGGGCATTTTCCAGAGACAGCTGCCCCCCTGCCCCTGCCAGATGCAGGCAAAAGAGGACCTGCCCCCTGGATCCTTGGGACCAGAGCCCAGTGCGCACTTGCCACATGTTGACGTGCATGCGCACCCGGGATCTCAGCAGAGGTGGCCCCTGCATGTCCCCTGCCCAAGGGCCTCTCCCTTCCCCAGAGGGAGGGGTGGGCTGCAGACACCGCGGCAGGAGAACGTGGTTCAGGGCAGGGCTTCCTCCCAGGACGACCCAGCCCAGCACGCCTGGCCTTGGCGCTGCCGCCCTCCCAGCCTGACTTACACTTGTGAGTTGGGCCAGGAAGGGGGCCACCCTGCCTGTAGGCCCCAGCTGCCCCCCCCCCCCGCCGCCCACTCCAGTTCCCCTCCCCTGGGCTCCCTCGATCCTGGGAGAGTGAGAGCAATCTGTGCACCTGTGTTGCTGGGGCACAAGGGTGGGGGGTACGGGGATGGCGCCCCAGCATGCCGGCTTGCAGCCTCTGCCATTTGACCCTCGGGGCTCCACACATGACGTCTCATCCTGGTGCTCTTGGAGCATCCCCTGGGATACTGCAGTCTAAGCCGGGCTGGGCCGGGCCGAGGGAGGAAGGGAGTGTCGCCCTCTGCCGTGACCGATCCTCTGTCGGGCACAGGGGAATTTCACCCCAGAATTCCCAGGGAGCGGCTGCATTGTGTGACCCCAGCCAGTGTCTGAATGGGCACGATGACATCTATGCCTAGGAGAATAAAGCAACGATATGGGGAGCAGGCTGGAAAGACCCATGCAGGAATTTATGCATTTACAGCTTCCAAGGGCTGTTCTGTCAGCACATGCTGATGGCGGCTCAACCAGGAGCAAAACCTTGTGGGAGTGGCGCTCCCTGGACACTTTTGCTGGATTAAAATGGGTGTGTTGTGGGGACTTCACATTTACCCCTCGAGAGTTGTTTCCCATCCTCCTTTTCCTCCTTCCTCCTGCCACAGAGAAATGGGGCCACACGTAACCCTTTCTGGGAGGTTTAACACGGGGCAAGCAACGTGCACCCAGGTGCGTGAGGGCCCTGGCCTTGCCGTGTTGTGTTGTGTGTCCCCACCTTCGTCCGTGACGTCCTGGAGGGGAGGCCTCGACACGGTGCAGCCCAGGAGGTTCACTCGGCCTTCGAGCGCTGCTGCTGCTGCTGCTGCTGCTGCTGGCGGTGGCGGCAGGAGTGGGTGAATCCGCCCCATGGTGCGGCAAAGGCAATCCCCTTGGGTTGCGCAGCAGCTTCTGCATCTGTCTGAGCAGTGTGATTTGGGATTCCAGCCAGGCTACTGCCCAAAAGATCCACAACATCTTCCCCACTGCTGCTTCCAGAGATGGGGGAAGCAGCATAGGCAGGGTGTCTGCCCCAGGCATAGAAATCAGAGGCAGTATGGTGTAGTGGTGAGAGCACTGCACTAGGATTCCTGAGGCTGACGTTCCAGTCCCCATGAAGTTCACTGCCTACCTCACAGGGTTGTTGTGAGGATAAAAATGGGGAGGAGGCAGGCTGTGCACGCTGCTGCTTCACCCGTTCTCATAGGACTGGGCTCCCGGGCGCCTCACTTCCCGCTCGCCCTTCTCTGGACGTGGCCCGGCTTGCCACTGCGGCCCTCAAAACTGGTGCGGCAGCCAGCGTGCAGTGTGCCTGGCTAGCTGGGAACAATCGCTTCCAGCCGCTGGACATCAGCCTTCTGGGCAGGCTGGCTCAGGGCCGGCTTGCGATGCGCCACAGGACCTGAGCCGACAGCCCGGGGCACTGCTGTTCCCCCGGCTTCCCCGCCACAAACCTGTGCCTTGCATTTTGAATCCACACGCAAGGCCGGCAAAGTGGCAGCCCCTCAAATCTTGAGGTAATCAGGCCGGGGAAGATGGGCCTGGCAGCAGCGGCGCCGGTTCTGCGTGCTTTGGCCACTGCATCTGGGGCAACGGCTCCCCTCCCCGGGCCGGCCAGCTGGCCCCGTCAGCCTCCAACTTACCTGTGGAGCAGCTCACAAACAAAATGTCACCCGCGTCCCTCCGCCTGGGTGGCTGTTTGCACGTCCCTATTTTTATCAGAATTTCAGAGAACTCTCCAGGAAACGGTTCCCCAACATGGGATATATTTAGGCCCTGGGACACGAGGGGCTTTCAGCTCAGGGACTCCTGACCGTGGTGCAGGCTCAGACCGCCTGCCAGGCAAGTGCAGGGGTGGTGGGCTGGCTGGGGCCCATCTCTGTGCAGAGGGAAACTGAGGCACTGGGCTCCCCCAGTGGGAAATGCCAGCCGGGAAAGGAGGAGCCCTGGGGAACGGCGACCTGCCAGTCGAAGGAGAGCAGCCTTCTCGTCTGTGAGTGACTGCAGGGTGGGCTGGGGCACCGTGGAGCTGCTGCCCAGCTCCCTCCAACCTCCTGCCCCTTGTGGCTGACTGGGGGATGCTGGGAGTTGTACTCCAGCACCTCTGGAGAGCACAAGGTTGGGGAAGGCTTCCAGAGCTGACCTTTTACTGCATGGCCTTCGAGCCTGTGAAATTCTGCATGGGAATCAGGCGATGTCACATCTGGGCTTTCTCCAGATCATGCGTAGCTTGGCAGAGATTTAGGCCAGGCAGCCCAATCTAAGTTCCAATCACCCCTTGGTCCCAGAACTGACTGGGTGATTATTTCTAGCCTAAAGTACCTCACGAGCTTGTTGTGCGAATGAAATGAGATTGCTGCATAGACAGGTTGCAAAAGTGATTATGCTCTGTGCGTGTCTTTCTTCGCGGTTTGTTAAAGCAATTCTGAACATGTGCAAAGTGTTTTAAAGGAAGGAGCACGGCTCAGTGGCCTGTGTTTTGTAGCAGGTGGGTGCAGCTTCGGATAGCCCACCTTTCTCCCTCTTACAAGGAACTTCAGGTGGCTTGCAGGGTTCTCCTCTTCCTCTCCATTTTATCCTGACAACAACCCTATGAGGTAGGCTAGGCTGAAAGGCTCAGTCTTCCAGAGAACTTTGGGCCCAAGCAGGGACCAGTATCCGGACCTCCAGAGCCCAGTTCAACACATGCTGCACCACTCCGTGTGGCTCCTGACGAGATGTGGCACTGATGGATGAGACAGGCTTGCTCTGCCGTTGCAAACCTCTGGTCCGCGCCGGGAGGTGAGAGAGCGCTGGCACCCCTGACACCGCAGGCAGCCCTGAGAGGCAGGGGCAGGAACGCAAGGTGCGAGGGGATGGTGTGCTGTGCTGAGCAGCGCACCTGGGATTCGGGGCCCTGACGAAGCCCCCGGCAGCCCTGAGGCTTCGCAGCACTTCCTGGGAGTGCTCATGCCAGGACCAGACCTGCCCTGCCACTGCGCCACACTCCTCCCACCAGCACCTGCTCTTCTGCCTCCAGGATGTCCGGAGGGCCGTGCTCCAAGACGCTGCTGGTGCCTGGCTGCCCCTCCGCTTGTGAGAAGATGTCCGTGACAGGCTCCCCAGTCCGCAAGCCCACCATGCACCGGTACATCAGCACCAAGGTCCTCTTGGCCGAAGGCAGAGAGACGCCTTTTGCTGAGCATTGCCGTAACTATGAAAACATGTACCGGGTAAGGAGGGGCAGAGTAAGCCCAGGCCTCGATGCCGGTGCCAGTGGCAGGGGCGGGGGCTCATTCTTGCCTTGCAGGCGCCTGGCAGCTGGCAGCACAAAGACGGAATCTGGGAGGCTGCCACTCCGCCGGTGAGGGAAATGCAAACTGGCAGGGGGCAAGATCCCGGGGGTGCCTCTGCTTCTCTGGATGCTAAGATGCAGACCGGGGAACCCAGAATCCTGAACTGCTGGAGCCCTCTGCCTGCAGAAACCCCCCAGTCCAATCCCAGCAAGTGAAGCAGGGCTAGAAGGACCCCAGTCCAAGCCCTGCAGAGAAACTCTCAGGCCAGACAGAAAAAGCACAGAGCTGGACGGGCCAAGGGAGGGCTTGGTGCCAGGCAGCTGCCTGCAGTGGAGGAGACCAGGGGATGAGCTTCGATGCCGGGCAGTCCCCGGTTCACTTTCCCCTGGGAAAGACCTGTCTGAAGCTGGGAAAGCTGCGGCTGCCTGCTGGGGCTGGCAGTCCCGAGCCAGACAGTCCAGGGACCTGACTAAGGTGGCCTCCTGTGCCACCAAGATGCTCTGCATACTTCCACCTGTCTGCCTGTCCGTCCGTCCATCCATCCATCCCAGGCTCCAGCCCTCTGAGCGCCTTTGTGCAAGGCCCGCAGTAGACCCCCTCCTTCAGGGAGCCCATCTTCTCCCCACCATGCTCACCAGGTGCTTTTGCTCCCCCTCCTCTTCCTCAGCATGGCTACCACCTGCTTGCTCAACAGGTGAAGAGAGCCAGGAGCATGTGAGCAGCACCCTCTCCTCTCTTGCCGCCACTGCCATTATCCAGAGCCAAGCAAGAGGCAGGCAGGGGGTGAGGAGGAGAAGGAGGAGGAGGAGCATCCCTGGGCCGTAGCCCGCCCCACACAGGTTGGATTGCCTCCATCACATGGGGCTCGGGGGCCAGCCAGGCAGACCTCTGGCACCCCTTGCAGAGCAGCAGCGGCTTCTGCCTGCCAGGGCAGCCCTTCCCCCTTGAGGCTCACCCCTTTCCCCCTGGTGCTGCAGACCCTTCAAACGGAGGTTCAGAATCTGAAAGATCAAGTGCAGGAGCTGCACCGGGACCTCACCAAGCATCACTCCCTCATAAAGACAGAGATCATGAGCGAAATCCTACAGAAGTCTCTCCAGATGGATGTGCAAATCGCATCGGAATATTCGTCTGTGGAGATGATGAGGAGTGTGTTTGAAGAGGTATGTGGAGAACACGCCCCAGCAGCGCTTCTCATTGGCAGAACACAAACGCTGCTCCGCTTCCAGAGAATCAACTTTTTGCTTTCCCTGTTTAACAGAGGAAAAGCACATTCCAAACCCTTGGTCAGCTGGAAGTGACCACCCATTGCCTAAATGCAGAGACCATAGAAGGGGGATGCACAGAAATGTTTAGCATTTGTGTTTTACTGTAAATTCCGACAAAGCCAATCTTAAGAAGAATGGGGTCTGCGGTGGCCGTGGTTTGGGGTGGGGACTTGGGACCCTGGTGGGGCCGCTGCCAGTCAGGTAAGACTGTGTAGGTGAGGTGAGTCGTGGGCCGCTTAGTGTGCCGCAGCTTCTCTGGGGCCAAAGAAAAATGCCCAGGGAGCTGCTGCTGCAGTCGGTGCTGACGGTCCAGGGCAAGAGAGTTCCATGGCCAGCTTTCGCAAATGCTTCACTTTTAGGGGAAAGACTGTAGCTCTGGGGTACATTCCCTGCTTTTTTCAAACCCAGCCTGTCCACGCAGGGCTGGGGAAGGAAGCCCTGGAGCAGGCCCCTGGTGCCACATGCAGGAAGTGCTTTGGGACCGAAGCAAAGGGGTCCCAGCCACAGGGTGGGCACAGCTGCACCAAGCAGGCCCCGGTCCTGCACTGTGTGCCCCGCACCCGGATCCGCACTTAGGCTCCTCTGGGAGGTGAGCCCAGCTGGGGATGAAGGTGCAGGGGGGCACAGGGCGCTGCTCAGCAGCAGGGGGGCGCTCGGGGCATCCAAGGTCCAGGGCTGAGGTGCCCACTTGTGGTGCAGCCCGAGACACGCTCTTCCGGAAATCAGGGAAAAAAGCGAGGTGAGGTACTCAGGAAGCAGAGCCCCCCCCCCCAGGCTCCTCTGCGCCTGTGGAAATGGGTGTGCAGCAAGTGCGTGCTGCACGAGGAGCCTGGATCGACGGGCCCTGCTCTCTGTTGCAGACCTGGGAGGAGACCTATCAGCGAGTGGCGAACGAGCAAGAGATTTACGAAGGTAAGAGCGCCTCTGCCCGCCCGCCCGCCCGCTGGCGGGCCCCCTGCGTTCCCTCGCTGGGCCAGCTCCTGCCCAGCACGGCTGGTGTCCTCATGGCACACCCCTACCAGGGCTCCAGCCACGACCTGCACTGGACGGGGCGCAAGGGCCGCCTTTCACACACCACACCAGCTGTGCCCATCAAAGGGAAGACACTTGCAGCAGCCGGTCGGTGGGGATGGGAAAGCCTGGGCTTCTCAGGGTGGGGAGAAGATTCCTGCGGCATCTGAGCGACTCTCAGGCAGTGGCCACGGGGGGATTTGGAGGGCCCTTGTTTGGCCCACCCTTGTCACCCCAGCCGGGCCCCCAGGGGCTCTCGCTCCTCACCCTCTTCCTGGCTCCTGGTCGCTTGCTGGGCAGGCAAGGGACCAGAAAGGGGGGGTGGCTGCAGCCCCCTGCTCTTCCTTCTCCCCAGCACTATTTCTTGGGCCAGAACAGCTGGCAAGGAACAAGCAGGCTGCAGTGGCTCCAGCGGGTGCCCAGCCAAGCCCACCTCTGACAGCGGCCCCAACCACACGTCCTCTGGGTACTGCCTCCCGTAGTGAGGCAGAACCCGCGCAGACCGGGCATGCAGGAGCACAGTGCCAGGCTGCGCTGCGCCACTTCCCTGGGGGCATCTGGACAGCATCCAGGATGAGAGGGAGCTGTCCTGGTCCAGCGTCGGGGACCTCCCTGTGTCCTTCGCTTGTTCCTAAAAGCCGCCCCAGCAAACGACCAACAAGTTAGTGCCGTAAGGTTGCCTTTGCCACAAGAGGACCCAGGCAGCCCCTCCTCTGGATCCAGTCCAGGAGGTGCCTCAGACCCCCACTGCTGGGCACGTGCATGGGGCAGCCAGGTTCTGGGGCAGGTGGCTGGGCTTGACCGACCACCACGCTTCTCTCCTGCAGCACAGCTGCATGACCTGCTGCAGCTCAAGCAGGAGAACAGCTACCTGACGACCATCACCAAGCAAATCGCTCCCTACGTCCGCTCCATCGCCAGAGTGAAGGAGCGTCTGGAGCCCAGGTCAGGACCCCCGGACGGCAGAGGGGGGTGGCACCCACAAGGCCACCCGGTCCAGGCGCTGCTCAAGGCATCCCATCCGCTGCATGGCAGGAGCTCAGTACTGTCCTCCGGGTGCCCCGTGGTCTTGCCTGGCCTTGTCTTTCCATCCAGGTGTGGCTTGACCTTAGTGGGCTGAGGCAGCTGCTTCAGGCAGCCGGTTTTGATGTCGAGCAAAGGCATTGAATGGTCAGGTACTAACTGATTACTGGCTTGAGCACAATCCTAACAGAAGTCCCACTAATTTCAAGAGGGCTGGTCTAAACTCATCATACCCATCAATCTAATTCAACCCATCATGTTTTTATGGCCAGGGAGCAGAAGAGGCCCTTCTGGCATTTTCTTCATAAGCTCCAAGGCAGACTGCAGTTGAGCATGGGCTGAGTGCGAGTTGCCCTGTTGTGTGAACCAGGCTGCATTATCGAAACGTGATTTGCTAGCCACAGTTCACAAACCAAGCACACTCCATAGGTTGTCTCTGTGGGCTGTCCATGCTTAACACACCAAAGTTTGCTAGTCAACAGCCCATGATTCAATGCCAAGCCATGGTTCGATGGCAATCCTGGCTTGTGTTGTGTGAAGCCAGCTTCTGTGTTTAATGGTCAGTCTATGGTCTACTATAAGGATGACCAGCTCTTGCTCCTGAAGTCCATTTTGCCTTTTCCTCCCCTGGAGTCGGACTGGATGGAACGGGTCCGCAGTGGGAGGGCCTTTGGTTGATTGCTCCGCCATTTCTCCCTGCTGTCTCATGAGTTCTTTCACTGGTGCTTCCTGCAGGTTACAGGAAGCAAAAGACAAGGATGAACACCCTCCAGAGAACCTGTTCAAAATATATGACGACAGCACAACAACCGCTGACATTCAGAACAGGTACGGGATCCCTTGTGGCTTCGGTCTTGTCCTTGGGGGTGCTTGAGCCAGGGCACTGCAAAGCACTCATTTTCCAAGTGGGGCACTCATGAGTTGGTTTACTGAACGGAACGGTTCACACATAACACTACCCTGTGGGGCATGTACAACATGCCTTGCTACCTGACCCAGGATTTGCCTGGGAGAGGACCACGGCTTGTTTTTCAGTCCCTGGGCTGTCTGCTTCCTGTATCGTTTGCCTGCTCTTTCCCAAGTGTCCTCTTTGCACTGCAGTGCCAGCCTGTGATGAGGCTGGGGGTTTTGCCCTCTCATTCCTGCTGCCTCTGTACCCTGGAAAAATAATGCATATTCTGAATGTGCATGCAACAGTAACCATGTTTTAAACAATCCAGACTTCACCACCCAGCAAGGGAAATCATGGCTTTTCTTTATGGATTGAAATTTCAAGGTTTGCACAGAACGGTAATGAGATTGTAGTTAATTAGACGATATTTTGTAGTCATATACAAATCAGTCTATCGTCCTGAGTCCTGTCCTTCCATGCAGACCTTGGTGGCCCAGGGGCAGTAGCAGTCTGGCTAGGATAGGAGGAGGGCCTCAACCCTCCCATTTTCCACATCTGGCAGCCCCATGTCTGGAACTGCCTCTCTCTAGGAGACCTGGAGATGCCAGAAACTGTCTCAAGAGACGGAGCTTTGGGATGAGGCAGATTCTGCTTCCAAACTACCCACCACTTCCAGGTCAGCCTTCCTCCATCTGGTACCCTCCAGATGTGCTGGCCTACACCTCACTTCATCCCTAGACAATGCAGGATGTGGAACCCTTCCCAAGAAGGAGACAGTGGCTCCGGAGAACCATGCGGCCACTTCTCCTGCAGGGCCTGGCTCCTACCTGGGGCTGTCCCTTCTTTCTTCTGAGGACAAGGGAGTCCAGGGCTGTGTCAGCCCAGACTGCCACCCATCCTTGGGACTGCTGCCTGTGGAGAAGAACTGACCGCTTCCCAGGTGAGCAGGTCCAGTGTGTGGCTGCACTTCCAAAGAGGAGAGCAAGAAAATGCTGCACGCATTGGAGTGCTAAAAGTAACCCCCCCCCCCCCCCCCGTCCAAACCTGTTCCCTATGGTGGGCCAGTTCATCCCTCCTGAAGCCAGCCACGCGTGGGTCTGACAATTCTTTAGCTTAGGGGTGATGAACATGAGGCTGTCCAGATATTGGTGGACTGCAGCTCTTGCAAGACCTGGCCAGCAAAGCTCAGGCTGACCATGCAGGACTACATCTTCCCCTAGGACAGTGGTCTCAAACTGGCAGCCCGCGGGCCACTTGCCGGGATGGGCGGGTCCCGGGGGAGGGGCCCTGCGGCCTTCAAAGCGCCGGCGGCGCCCGGGTCGGCCGCGGGATGAGCGGCCCACCACCACCGCTTGATGCGGCCCAGCCTCACCCAGACTCTACTTCCAGCGGCCCCCAGGCAAGTTGAATTTGAGACCCCTGCCCTAGGAGAAGAGGACTCACAGGCCCAAGGCCTGAAATGATGCAGAGGGCCTGCGAGGACAGTCTGACTCCTCAGGCCCTGTTCCTGTGGCCATGCCCAAACACACAAACGATGTGGAACACACAACTCAGACACTGAGGGCTGAATGTGAATGTCACATCCATCCATCGACAGCTGTGCACTCCAAGCCATGGGTAGGGCTGGCATGACCCTGCCCACCCTTCCAAGCCACAGGAAGACAGCATCTTAAAATCATGGAGTTAGAAGAGACCGCAAAGCCCACCCAACCCAGCCTCCTGCTCAGGCTGGAGAGCCACAGCTTCAGCATCCCTGACTGGGGGCTGTTCAGCCTCTGCATAAAATCCCCAAGCAAACCAGGGTCCACACCCTTTAAGCTGCCTTGCCACTGCCGAATGGCTCATTTGGTCAGGACGTTCTGCTGCACATTTGATCAGAATGAATCTTCCACTTAGTTCAGGCCCTGTGCTTGGGAATGGTGGGATATCAATGTGCTCCTGCCACCTGTGGCGAGATCCTTCAAACTGTGGGAGGTGACACTGGTGCCACTTCCACGAGCTCCTCTCTGGGCCAGCTGTGCATGTGCCACTCCTCCAGCCTCTCTCCTGGGCACATGCCAGCTTATTGAGCCAAGCACAGAGTGCACCTCACTGCCAAGGGCTGTTTCCTTGGAAAGAGTTTGCTGGAGAAAGAGCAGGAGTTTGCAACATACCAACGGAACAGAAGAGGGTAGCTGAAAGCATTCGCTGCTCCAAAAGGCAGGGCTCCCCACTTTGCTTCTTTGGGGGCATGTTTGCACCCCGATGTTTCCAGAATTCCAGCTCAGATCTGTGCCTCTGCCTTGATTTTGTCTGAGACCTCCCCCCACAAAGCTGCTCCCTTCTTCCCAGACTGTACAGCTTGATGGCCTCATTCCAAGCAGGGCTTTGCTGACCTTTGGGTTATGGGGCTGGCATAGAAATGGACTCTTCCAAGAAAAGCACTTTGCCAGGAGCATAAGGTCTGACCAAGGAGGATCCTGATAAAAGAACCATTCATAAACGGGGTCTCCAGGATTCAGGATCATGGTCACCTGGGCCTTATTTCCTCTTCCACAGATGCAGGTTGGGGTTTGCATAATTACTCTGGCAAGTGCTACAAAGGTGCCCTGTCACCATGTTCAATAGTTGCATCAGAGGCAGGGGAGGCTGGTGACTCCATTAGCAGCACTCCTAATCAAAGCTGTGCTTATTTTGAGCTTCATCAAAACTATCCATGGTGGTGAACCTGAGGGAGGGAATTCAGCACCACGGGCAGCTCCTTCAACCCCCAGAAGCTACGATGGGGCCCCACTGAGAACATTTGCCACCAGTCTCCCTTCCCAGAAGACTTGCACAGCATTTGGCTTCTGGGAGGCTTGCTAACCATGCAAAGAAAACAAATGCACTGCTCTGGGTAATTATGCAGCTCTCGGGCGCACACAGTGGGGGAAATAAGCCACCATGATCACGTGAGCCATGCCACTGAAATAGAAGCGACACCATGACAGCCTGACCAACCTGCCAGACGTGCAGTGCTCTGCTCCTGCTCTTCAGTCTCTCCCCAGTGGGCCTTGTCACCACGTTCCACCAATATTTTTGTATCTGACCAACATGCCAAGCGGAGCACAAGGAAGTGCCTTGCTCCCACCCAACTGAGCCATTCAGCTCAGCACTGTTCACAGCAGGGACGGGCAATTTTTGGCCAATTCCACCAGCCTTGCCTCTCGCCAGGCAGGGTGCCCCACACTGCCCAGATGGACCAACTGCCTGGGCCGATACGGGGCAGCCTGGCGTCCCAATGAGCGCTTGCCAACAGCAGATCCCCAGCTTCAGACAGGCCCTGGATGGAGATCCCAGGCTTGCCCTGACGACCTTCCGCATGCCAAGGACATAGCCAGAGACACGGCCCTTCCCTTCCACAGATGCCTGGGCCCAGCCTCCTACTTCCAAGTTGGTGCAGCAGCTTTTTGTCCCCCTGGAACTTGTGGTCATGGGAAGAGGCTGCCCCAAGCACGGGGCACCTGCTCGTCACTGGCAGGGAGTTGCCTGGCCCAGTCAGAATTGCTTATGGACGGGTAGAAAGGCCAGTGCTTCTCACAGTTTCCAGGATCTGCTATTTAAAAAGGCTCTTTTCTCTTCCACCCAAGGACTGATTTGTGTGATAGTGGCAACAGCGGCGGCGGCGGCAAAGAGGAAAAGCAGTCTTTGGAACCCAAAGAGGAAAATCAAATCCTCAGTCCAGCAACAGAGGATTCCCAATTTAAAAGCAAGGACTATTTCAGGAGCAAGCCGAAAAGCAAGGCCGAGAGCCCCTCACTACTGGCAGGACCTTGCAGCGGGGCCCTGGAAGCAGATCTGGAAGGAGAGCAGCTCCTGTCCTGAATGCAGGCAAGACTCCTCCCTCCCTCTGTGCAAAGGCGGGGATGCAGAGCTGTGTTTGCAGGGTGGGAGCATGCTCACGGGCCTTCAGCAGCGCTGCTCTTGCGACAGAGTGCAAATCTGCAGGCTTTATTCTGCCTTGTTCTATTGGATGTTCTCCTTTACCCAATTTATTCTACTAGTCTGGTGGAAAGGGTGCATTAAGGAATCATACGCAGCGTTCAAGTCATGGTCATCTTCAACTAGGAATCTTATGCAGCAATTCCTCCACTTTTCAGGTTTTCCCAACTATTGCCCAGATTTGATTTCAATCCTATCTCATGCCCAAAATGAGGACTATAAATTTGCCCAGGCTTGGCTGCCCGGACATCTGGTCTTTTTGAATCCATGGCCACGAAAATTGCATTTTCTGCGCAGATATTTTCACTGATTTGGCTTCACATTTTGGGATGCAAAAAAGAATAGGAAGAGGCAGCCGGATGCAGATCCAGCCATGCCTGTGCAGCGTCAGCAGCCAGCCTTACTCTCCAGGACTGTATACCTGCAAGCTGTCGGCCGGGCACACTCACACAAGAAACCCGCTCAAACAAATCTTCCACAACACATTTGCAGCAGAAAGGGGCTGCCCACAGTTAACAGAACACAAGAAGAGCCTAGATCAGTGATGGCGAACATTTTAGAGACTGAGTGCCCAAACTGCAACCCAAACCCGCTTTTATTGCAAAGTGCCAACACTGCAATAAAACCTGAATACTGAGGATTTAGTTTAGAAAAAACAACTCACAGCCAGTCCAAGCAAATCTCTCTCGCTCTCTCTGTCTCTCCTTGGCAGCACACTGACCGGCCATGCAAAAGCTCTGATGAGTCGCGGCTAATGAGTCACAGCTCGTGATGCCATTGCCTGGCACCACTACTCCTCTCCAAGCATGCGCATGACCCTTATGTGCACTGCTATCCAATGCTTGGCTCTTGGGACGATGCTGGGGCAACTTGGCTTGCGTGCCGAAAGAGAGGGCGGTGCGTGCTCGCTGCAGAACGTGTGCCATAGGCTTGCCACCACCACCAAGGGCCTCTCCAAGCACAGCACTCTGCTTACAACAGCCAACCAGTGGTCCCAGCGGGAAGCCCACAAACCAGACACGGCAGCAGGATCCTCCTCCCACCTTGCTGCATGTCACCACTGGCTTTGGCCTTCCTTCATCTCAGCAAGCGTCCGCTGGGGGCAGGTAATCAAGTGGTGAGATGGAAGCGATCCGGTTGCTCCCGATGCTCCTCTGAAGCATGTTCCTGCAACAGCCCGGTCTGGCTCCCTTGAAGCCTTCACACCCTACCCTCCCTGGAGGGGTACTCGACCTGTGTGCCCCTCAGCTGCGGGTGGATTAGAATGCCCATTTATCCTGATGGCTAGCTGCTCTGTTCAGCTAGATATATGAAGCCTTGGAAAACCAGTGGGATGGTGTGTGTGTGTCCCCTTTCTGCAAGGAGCATTTTTTTCTCCCAAAACTGAACAGCTCTGGATTACACATTATTTTTAAGAATTTCAGAAATTGTGTTCATATATTGCTAGCCCTAACCTTAGCCCTAACCTTTCACTATTCCCAAAATGCTTTCTAAAAGCTATCCAATTGGAACACTTCTTTAAAGGACTAGAGATGTACAATGTCTGGAAATGAAGCCACAAGGAAAATATTTTCATCTTCTCTGTAACAATAGCTCTTTCTTCCATTCTTTATTAAAATTATTGATCTAATATATCTTTTACTGATAGATTTAGGAATGCTTAGTTTTCTACCAAGCAAGTAGAACCATCGTGGGAGCAGAAGAATCATGTGGAAGAACATGTGTGTGGGGGTTTTGTTCTACAGAGCTTTGTTTTGGGGATTGTTCGGATCAGAAGTACATTAAATGACTGCTACAGCTTCTAATCTAAAACCCACAAATAAAAAACATCCACTGGAGGTTATGTGCCACCAGCTGTGAGACTTATTTTTTATAAAACCAACCACATTTTAAAAAACATTTTAATTTGGGGAGTTCGGTCTACAGAACTCATAACCAGTTTTTAATAAAGTTCTCAATTAAACCTCATCACTAGGGAATGTCGCCTCAGTGAAAAACCTGTTAAAGGCTGCCAGTAGAATAAACCCTTTCTACCTAAAAAAAACCCCCCACCACCACCACCAACCCTGCAGCAGCCAGGTTTCTATGGTATAAGAGACCACCTTGGCAAATGAACAATAAGACATTTATTAACATAAATTACACATAAAAACAAATTAAATATGACTCTTAATAAACTGAGACTGCTTAAAGGTTTTTAAATTGAATAAGGTTCCTTACCATTCCTGAGCTGAGCCTTTCCCAGCTAAATAATACCTCAATAGCTTGTCGTTCCAATGAGGTCTCTCCAAGTTCCACCCCACAAACCGAACCGGTCCAGGGAGTTTACTAAACCTCCTTGCAAACAGGAAGAGACGCTGCACGCCAGCCTCCCTTGGCCCTCGCCCCTTCTTCCCGCTTTTTCTGCCCTCAGTGCCACCTTCAGATGTTTGTTGCTGGTCAGGCAATAAATAGGAACCTAGAGTATTACACCTATTGTGGCTTGCTTCAAAATTATGTTTGGGAGTATTACATTTAAAAGGATATTTCACTCAGGCAATAATGACAACTTACTGAGTTGCTGTTAAATATTTTAAATAGAATGATAATGAGCAAACCAAAGTTATACATAATGCAGTGCTGGGGGTGTGAACATTGCTTCAGGCGGCCACCTCTCCCCAGCACCCCCCATGCGCACATCTATGGGAATCTATGGGAGGCACCAGACTGGGAAAGGTTGACTTTAGATCTGCAGAGTACTAAAATCCCCTATTGCTTTTCCCCCCCAATGTTCTTTTGTTCCCAGGAGACAGAGGACTGTTTTCTTCATAGTGCCAAAATTTCTGGAAATTTTACATCTCTTAAGCCCCACAACATGGGAAGAGCTTCTGATCCTTGACCTGCACTATAAAGCACACCCTGCTTAGGAAATGGAAAGCTGCTTAGGAAACGTACTATGCTTAGATGTGCTTGGGGCTTTTCTCTGAGGATAATGCTGCTGTGATCCTCAGAGTTCTACCCAAGTGCCAATTCTGCTGCATTGCTGGGCCTGGCTTTTAGGGGCTGCAGGCACTGGGCAGAGGCACATGGACTACCCACCCCGTACAGTCTTGCCTCAGAGGCCAGGCCCTTCCTTCGCATGAGGAAAGGCAAACAAGCGCCTGGTACCTCTCTGTTCTACAAGGCTGGTGAACGTTTCTTCCAGGTCAGCCCTCACCCAATTCCTCTGAACCTCACTAAAAGCTGTTTTGAAACAAAGAAGAAAACTTCTCTCCCTGCCCAACAAGCACATTAATTACTGGCTGCAGGGGTGTCAGGTAGCATTCGCATGCATTTTTCTTCAGATGTGTGTATATTTTATTATCTAAGAAAGCAGAGAAAATATGGTCAACATTTGTCAGAGGGGGGAAATACTTTTATTTCTCTTAAAAAAATAAAAGAGAATTGAACCAGACTGCCATTCAGTTTGGTGGCAACCACCTCTCAGCTTTCAACAGCACAGAACACCCAAAACGCTGCAGAGGAAACCACCCCTTGTTCTGCAGGCAACAGTGGCCGGCTGCAGGGGAGCCTGGGCATGCGCCCTGCTTTCAGAAAAGTAAACAGAATTCTGCATCCAAATTAGGCTCCAAGAAAAGCTACAGCCAACAAGCCATACATATTGTATTAAATCAGCAGGTCTGTGGAAGTTTATCCTCTTAAAATATGCTGCATCATTTAATTTGTACCAGCTAGTCCAGGGGAGGGGGAAGGAACCATGCAAGGAATTAACACCCTCCCCTTGACCTTGAAAGAGCCCCTGCATTTAGAGGTTTCAATCAGAAGGACCTGAAACATGCTTTTTTCAGAAAAGGAAAAACCTGAAATTCTGAAGAAGTCGAGCCATGCTCAAAATGCCCCAGTTCTGCATGCCTGTAGAATCAGGGCTTGGATTCAGCTCTGGGGGAGGACCATCCAAAGGCACAGAATGGTTTTATTTGGAGTCTCATCTTCCCTTCTGTAAGCAGAACTGTAAAATGGAAAAGGCACTCCTCTCTCTTGCATATTATACAATAGGCTTTGCCCGGCCACTAGCCTGGTTTTCGAGACAGCTGTGCATCTGCTCAAGGCAAGCAGTTTAAGTTCTGCAAAGGTCTGTTTTCCCCCTGCACAGGCAAAACCACCTTTTTCGACTTCCATATATTAGCCATAAATGACTGACACAGATACAAGTAGGGAAGTGGAACGGTGCTTGAGATTGTAATCCTAGACATTTGCCTGGTAGCAAGTTCCACAGTGGAAGATCTTTCTGAGCAGTCATGCATAGGATTGCCCTACTGTGGTTTTTTAAGGCTGCAAGCAGTGGTTACATCTAGAGAAATCCTTCTAGCTATGTGAGCAACCATCAATGGGTTCCACGCCACCACCCAGCTCCATCCAATCCAACACACACCTCTGCAAACTACAATGAGCTGCGCCCTTTAGCCATGGGTGAGCCCTTGGGGAGGCTGTGAAAGTTCCTTCCAGCCTAATCGCCAGAGGCCAGGCTGCAGATCCCTTTTGTTCTGAGGAAGCAGCCCAGTTTGTTCCTGAAGCTGGATTTGGATTAATTCCCCTGCAGGGCTCCAGAATAAATGTGCTTCACTGAAATCATAGCACTTAGATGAGGTGCAGAAAGCCCGACAATGCACACTCAAAGGGGATGTAGCCGTTGAATGTGGCGTGTGGTTCAAACAGGGCTTATTGTGTTGGCTGAAGCAGGTGTGCTAACAAGCCTTTCTTGAAAAAGAGGAGACAAAGCAGGAGGAGGGAAAGCTCCACTGGTGAAGTAAAATAGCAACTCCAACCTTGACCCCTGCAGCAAAGCAGCTGGACAGATGTACAAGTGGACTTGCAGGTAATCCTGTTCTGGCAGGTGGGCCCTGATCAAGGCATCAGCCTAGCTCTCATTTTTTAATTTATTTTGCAAAGATTACCTGGCAATATTTCAGGGTCTAACAGTAAAGAGGGAGACACAAAACTCCCTTTTTCAGGGAAGGTCAAACACCATAAAGGATATGCAAGGGAGGAATTCCCCATGTTTATATATAATTTTTATCATCCAGGTTCCCAATCTGGAGCCATAAGAGGTTGGTTATATTCTCAATAAAGCTTGGCATGTTCAGAAAAAGGGGTGACAGATTTCCATTTAAACATTTACCACACCTTCAGAAAAGACATGGGCATGTTCAGAAGCCAGCAAAATGGCAATGTTTTCCTGACTGAAAGGAAAGAATCTGTTCAAACACAGATCAGCCCTTTCAATATCCCTCCTAGGAATTTCATTTTAGATCCTTTAGCTAGTGGGAATCCATACGTGTTAAATACTGAATATTCAGCATATTTAACTGAATAACCTTCTCCAGGACAAATAACCACAATCCCCACCTGGGGCCTCCAGATATGCCAGTCTCCAACTCCCAGCATTCCCAGCCAGCATGGAGAGTCTGGGGAAAGGGGGTTCACAGAATTAAGACAGAAAGGAAGCAGTATCATTGATCTTTCAACATTTGGCCCCTCTTTTTCAAGAAGCCAGGTAGAGTATAACCAATTATTTTCAAGATTACTTCCTAGAACTTATCTTCAGTTGTTCAAACTCTGGGACATACCTCCATCTTATGTATGGAAGTGAGAAAAGACTTTTTCAATAAAGTATCTGTATCAGATGACAAATGGAAGTTAATTTGAAGCACAAGTAATAGAAGTTTGAATATGGATATAGGTAAAGACAAAGACTACTTTTTAAACCTTTTAGAGGAAAAGCAGAATGTTTAACCTGACTCAAAGTAGAGATGGCTACGTTTATGATACCAAAAAGACAGCCCCCTCTCTGTAAAATATGGTTGGGGGCTTATCTGGAAATATCAGCAAATTAATCAGGAAAAAATACTTATGATGAATCAATGAAATTTGTGAACTATTTCTGCCTCTGCATCTGCTTGTTATCACTGCATACTATTTAGCAAACCAAAATGAACTCGTATGCATACTCATAAATTAGCAGCAATAAAAATAATGCGAGGTGATTATTAGAAGACGGGTGCCTGTCTCTGCAACCAGGAAAGATTAACAATGTAGCAAATAAAAATGAAAGACCTGGCGAGACTTCAAGAAGGCATGCTAAGAAGAATAAATCGTCAAGTGTTGTAATCTTATGCATGGTTGAACAAAGGAAAGGCCTATAGCTGCTGGTGGCCCCAGACAACTACAGCTATGGGCCTTACTTATTTATTCATTCATTCATTCATTTGGCCTGTCCTTGCATAGGGTTCTGTTTGAAGTAACAGCGCGTTCTAGGAATGTTAAAGCACCGAGAGCGCCTCTTCCTGGGCTACACTCTTATGCACTAACACCCGTAACTGCATGCAATGAGGCGCCCTTCTGAGCACACATGCAGGGGCTGCACTGCTACTCTCTCTCCATGTAACATGCATTTTCTTCTGCCATTTATTTTAGATGAAGCATTTCCTATTAGCTGTCTAATCACAGTAACTGACTTACCACTGGTAAAATACTTTTGAAAGGAGAATAAAATAAATGCTTAACTGTGACAGGAATGCATTCCATGCTTACTTTTCTCCTAACAGTGCACAGATGAGGGAGTGTGAGGTTCTTCAAGCCTGGTTCTGATGCCTTCCATATGACAACTCTCATGGCAATGATCGGGGGCACTCGGAGCCGCTTGCAGGCATCCGACTGGGAAAAGTTACAGGCAGTCCTGGAGTGATCTGTGGCACTGCAGATACTAGGGTGGATTTTGGCTGGATGCAGAAACTTTGCCGGCAGATGTTGAACCTAAATTAGAAGCTCCCAAGTCACAGCATGACTTGGAAATTGGTAGCAGGAGTCTTCTCTCTGCCCAAGACCCTGGAAGAATCAGTACCCACCAAAGTAGGCAAAGCTGGGACAGATGAGCCAACAGCTTGACTATGAAGGCAAATTCATACAATCCAATCTAAATAGGTCAAACTGTGTTTTAGTGAGAGTTTTCCCACCACTTCAATGGGAACTTAAGGTGTGAACCTAAGGTATGAAGCTACTGAAAATTCAGCTAGCTCTTTGAATGTCATAAGGAGCTAAAGAAAGCATATCAGAAGTGCCAGGAAACGAATTTGCCCCAAAGAGCCAGGTGCTGAGCTGCTTTTCTAGCTCTACCACCCACAGATACTGCTAAAAATAACTTACTCCTGAATTGGATCAAAGAATTAAGGTCATGGCAACTCTTGGTGCTGTTTTCCTAAATAGGTGCAAGGTCTGAACTTGGTACTTTCACAGCTTTCAGTGTTGGAGAGAAATGGAGATTTCATGCAAGATTTCCAGGTCCTACTGTACAGTTTACAGTTGCAGAGGGGGAAAACCACGGTCCTATTTCAGCAAATGGCTCAACCAACTCTTATCCAAGCTATCTGCAAACTGCAGATTGAGCTACTTTGGCTGGACTCAATGAAGAAGAAAGAACTAGGAAAATTAATGGAGTGAACAGTGTTTACTAACACTTATTCCAAGACACCTGTAAATTTTTGAGATGCCACCAGACAAGTTTTAGGGATATCAGAACCTTTTCTAAAGGGCTTTGATAACATCTGCACCAGGCACAAAGGCCAAAATGCAACAGCAACTCTGAAAGGAATACGGAGCATCAGGCCACAGAGCCCTGGCTGAGGAGGACACTCCTGGGCGGCATCAAGCCTTGCGCAAGACGAGCATATGAGGAGAGGCAGATCTGAGGAGGAAGGAATACGGCAACCACTGCCAATGCAAAGGTGCCAGATGACCTCTGCCTGGTTGTTGCTTACCCATGGTGGAACTAAAGCAAGGATTATTGCAAATGTAGTCATTGTAAAAGAAAAGAGAACCCATATTCTGGACTGAATGCACACCAAAGTCTTGACTTGTAAAATCTGGCATCCTAAAAATCTCTGAAGTTGTCTCTGAAATTAAATGCCCCTGTGTCGTGTTGGGTCTGGGAAAATCTCCCAGCGTAGAAAGATTGTCGAACAAGCTCTCCAAAAAGCAGGGACTGGCACTTCCATTCCTTGAAATGCCTGGTCCCAACCCCTAAAATCAATTCTATACACACAAAAGTAGCGCAGTGTGAAACTGGCACCACAGTGCTGGCTCATTTACAGGAAGATGCAGAACCCAACTTCCCAGAGTGTGTTGTTTTCACTTTCTTCTTTCTTTTCAAGAAGTGCACTCAGCCCTGGTACATGATCTTGTTCTCCTCACTAAGAGGCATTTCAATAGATGCTCAAGAGCACGTGGTTGAAGGGGAAGAAAAAAAAATATTCCAAAAAGTAAAGAGAAACAGAAGTGGTTTGTCCCTGGGATTCTGCTGTTCTGAGTTCCCAAAATGTCAACTCATGGGGTCTTTCCATGGCTAGTTATTAGCATGGCTTCCAGTCTTCACAATGAATTTTACTAAATGGTGACTGGTCCCCAGACAGATGCAACACTGCTCAACAATCCACTGCCCGCCTTGGCCAGAACTTGCAAATGTCCTGGCTTCCTTCCTAACTGTAAACAGTTCACCAGAGTCAGAAAATAGCAAGCTTCTCTTTGGTATAACATGAACAAAAGCATTTGCAGCATGGAAGCTGAAGCATCCCCCTCCCTCTCCTCCCCCAGCGTGTAGATTCTGCCAAACAAATGGTGCCGAAAATGGCTCCGGTCTTCCTCAGCTAAGATGTGCAAAGATACATCTTAGAGAAACACATCTTGAATCCTCAAGTTAAAATACAAAAATTAAGGAGTGGGGGGACAAGTGGTCATTATTAAAAATGTGGAATAAACAAAGTAGTTGTGAGGGCAAAATTGAGACCAAAAAGACCAAGGAAACACCGTCAAGATGGCACTGACAGAAACAATCAGGCAAACATTACCATTAGACACAAATACATTTTTTCATTCATTCATGAAGGGTGATGCAAACCTGGATTTGCATCATTTAAAAAAGGCCGCTTCCCCCAAAGCAGGCCCCATCCGCTGAAGGGCGTTCTCTTTACTCACAACGCTGCTCTCCAGCGTTCTTCTTTTGGAAACTCAAACAAGTTCACAGAGCCTGAAACAGAATTATAGGGCACTGTTGCTGCACGCCTACCGCTACTCCATCCCACCCTGTAAGAATGCTTTATCCCAAATAACTTATGATCAGGCCCAGGGGCTAAAGCTGTGCTCCGTTTCCCCCAGAGAGAGACGAAGAGGAAGATCAGGAAGGTTTTTCCCTGAAAGTTCTGCCAGAGAGCTTCACTCAGACCCCTTGTGGGGTGGGGGCGGGGTTGCTTGATGTGCAAGCAGCTTCTCGGACAGATCTCATCACAGCACATTTCAGTCCAGCAGAATGGCAAGAGGCAGAACAGCTTCCCCACCTTTTAAAAAAATCACCCTTGTTACTCATATGAGAAACCAGCGAGGCTTCTGTAACTCAGGACTTTTCTCCTGCTTACAATGAGGGAGGGAGGGCTCCTACTTTAACTAAGGTGGACTGAGATATGGAGCTATGGCCAAGCCCTTCACAACCCCCTCACAGAACTCACCACTAAGCATTAAAACTGAGCGCTACTGTAACAGCGCGGCCTGAAGTGCCTGCGGCTCCGCACCATCCAGGCCAGGCAGACGGCACCTGGAGCCACAGACCCCTGTTCTGCTCCAGCTGGCGCCAGCGCCTCACAGTTCTGCTTTAATCCCTCTGATGAATGGCAGGCCAGTAGGTACCCGCCTCTTGTATGCCAGGTACTCTTCCCCAAAGAAATGGATCAGCGTCATCTCCTCTTCTTCTATCCTCTCTCGGAAGAAGCGCCAGGAAGCCAGGGTGTAGCCCACGACACAGACTGGATTGCACAGTAAAATCTGGAAGAAGAAAGGCAGAGGAGGGCTTGCCTTGTATGGGGATTCCGAAGAGCTGCAACGTCCCCAGGGCCCCCTTGGCACTGGCATGCCAAACTAAGTGACCCTTACTGTCCATTATCCTTTCACAAACTGGTGATGGGGAGAGTGTGGGAGTTGTGATCCAATACCTTTGGAGGGTGACAGGTTGGGGAAGGTCACCTTTACAGCAGCACTGCCATTCTCCCAAGCTGCATCAAGGAAGAGAAGTGGGGCTGTTCTATTGCCTCAGCCGGGAGACCAGCTTCTTTGGGTGCTTTCGCAAGTGTCACCCGCAACAGCCACCCCATCAGCTTACTGGAACTTTCCACTTGCAATGATCACTACAGAAACTGCAATTTTAAAAACTTGGGCAGGAAGTAGATTTATCCTCCTCCTTCCTCATTCCCTTTTTGTGTTGTGACTTCTGAAGCCTGAGGGTAGAGACTGACTTATTTTTGACTGATCTGGAAGCTTCTCCAGAAGCACTTTCAGCTGAAAAGCAGGGAAAGACTGCTTTAGGGAATAAAAAAAGAAATGAAACAAAAAGAACGCTGTTCAAAAGTGATGTTATCAAGTTGTCAAGTGTGTTGGGATGGGGAATCAACACCTTCCTTATGTTCTTAGGAACTCCGTCCAACATCTTGAGGTGCATTCAGTTGCAAAGCTAAACTTAGAACCATCTTCCTGACGTTCACTGCATGCGGGGAGTGCTCCCCAAAACCATACGTCAGGGGGGTGGCACGGTTATCCTGAAGTATCACACATAACAAGGTTCAGACAACAGGGATCACTCAAGCCTGCAGTCCCCCACCCGTCTTGTGAAGAGGAACAGTCCCAGGGAAGCGTTAAATGAGGAGGCTACTAGCAGAAGGCAGAACTTGTGCTTGATGGAGACTAACTTGGTCCGAGTGAGTTCATCGTGTGTTTGTATGCAACTCCACACAACATGTGACCCTAACAACGGGATACAGAGGGGAGCTGTTTTTTTCTTGAAAGATGTTGCCCCATACTGGGTGTGGGGATCATGCAGCTCCTGCTTTGAACCTTGCCTCTGCCACAAACTTCCTAAGTGGCCCTTGGCAAGCCACGCAGTCTCTCTGACTCATCCCCCTCCTCTGCAATGTGAGGCACAGTAAGACTGGCCTACCTCACGAAGACGTTGTTGAAGATTACATCTAGATAATACACAAAAGCTGATTTGGGTACTTTAACATGCTAGATCGGGAGTGTGGAACCTCCCGCTCAAGGGCCAAATCCGGCCTGCCTGAGCTCCCTTCCTCGATGGCCAAGCCCTCTCCCCCAGCCCCAACCCTTTTCCCCACTAGTGTTCTCCTGGTTTTCAGTCGTTGTCCCCTATTCTAAAAAGTGGGCATGCCTCTCCTAAGGTTATCTGCTGGCAGGAAGCGTTCAGCTGAAATAGGCTGCCATTTTTGCATTTCGGCACTGCCCTTTCTACCTCTGGTCCCTGCACTGTTCGGAAGTGGCCCCAGAAACAGCTCCAAAACAGAATCTGGCTCTCAGGCTGAGGGGGGCTCTGCATCCTGCACTAGTGCAGCAGTAATGACTATTATCCTGGGGAGTGATGGTTGCATGCAGTAGGTAAGCTACCACTCCTTTTCCCTGCAGCACACGGGTATCCTGATACTAGCTACCCCACAAAGGTAGCCTCATGTTCACAAAGGCACAAAGTGATTCCACTGTACCTGTGTTCCGATACTCCAGTAAAACCACCCCACATATGATGGGTGACGGAACAACCCGTACACGCCCCGAGTCACAAGGGTATGCGTCTCCGACTTCTCGTTCTGGACAATGTGGTTGAAGTTGGAGCCGGCGGTGAGCATGGCTGCTTTCCTCAGACAGTCTCCAAAGACCACCATCAGCAGCCCTGCGGAACTCAGCCAGGTGATCTGCTTCATTTCTGCAAATGGAGAACAGGTAACAGCAAGGAACTTTCCCCATCATCAGTTTACAGGAAGTAACAGCCTCACTGCACACATTCCCAGACTTCCTACTAGAATGGCAATGTATTTGTATTTCTCATGAATTAAAACTCCCAAGGAGAGCTACTGACCTGGGAAAATGCATTTTTCCACAGTAAACTCAACCCAGGAGGAGAGTGCAGCCATATTATATTCAAAGCTGTGGTTCAGCAAGAAGGAGTCCAAGGACAGACTTCGTGGGTTGTTCACAGCGGTAACCAAGTACTCCGAATAATGGAAAAAAGACAAAGAGCACATATACCTGCAAAGGGAACAACCAAAACCAGCCACATTAGACTTACCCCTCTGGTGATAATGCGCAACGGTTCCCCAAGCTGGCCGAGGAATGCGGGGAATTGCAGGACTTTTTCTGTCTAAATGTGCACAGAAATGTTTTCAATCTTAGATCTTTTTTTAAAAGCCCATTACTGCGACAGCTGAAGGCCATGTAGGAAGTGCTGGTAGATTTCTGGGTAACTGTGGCACCTTAAAAACCATCAATGTTATTATAGCAGCAGCTTTTGGATTCTTGAGTGCCCTTTATCAGGTGGAGATGAGATGAGTGTAAGATGGGGGAAATCTGTAAAAAGACTAACAGCACATTCCAAAGAAATGCAAAAAGTAGTCTCTGACAAGTTCATGAGAGAAAGCATATTTCTATCAGATCAAAAATTAGGTGCCTGCAACTAGGCCATCAGAGGCTTGGGGCATACTCTGGAATGGGTTCAGCTGAAAACCAAGCAGAACAATCGTTCATGAAGGGAACTCTTCCGTTCAAGAAAAGCCAATCCTAGACCCAATGCACTGAGTTTAAACATAACAGAATGACCATGCACAACAACAGTTAATTGGTGACAACTTTACTGTCTCAGAAGGCAGAGCAAGGGTTTCTGACTCCCAGCTGTTTAGTTACAGGAACAAGCACACACTCCACCCCTCTTCTCCCCAGTAGGAAACAAAAAACCTTGGAGGAAAGCACATGTGGATTTTTGTGAGAAAAGACTGTAAGCATATTTCTAAGAGTAAAAACGAATTCTTGGGCTGAGAATATGCTCAGCAGCACTTTAATTTCTTAATGTGAAGGACAAGCCTTTAGTGCTTGACTCTGGCTCTTGGGAGTTCATCCCACCAAGCTGAAGTGCCACCACCCCTGAACCAGAGATCAGATTCCAGAGCCCCACACAGACAAATGCAAGAGCACAGGGAAGAACAGCCTTGCCTGCAGGTTCTGCTCCAGACTGCCCCCAAACTGACCTATCAACAGTGGGTTCTTCTGCACATACCATGTGACCCTAGGATTAAAGCTGCACAGTACATGGGGAAGTGGATTTCAGTGGGCATGAGGAGGCTTATTTTCGAGCAAGCATTCCCTGGGTCATGCTGCATAAACCTCAGTCAATCTAGTTCCAGGGGAAGAAATGGCCCTGTGGAGGAAGAATTGCTAGGCCTAGTTTAAAACATCTCTGCTGCTACTACTGAAAGAAACTATTCAATGGCATAAAACAGAATTCTTTTGACAAAATAAGCAAACTGCTAGAGTTCCAACTAAGTCATAAAAATCAAACAGTGGCACAGAAATCAGCCCAGTCTGACTCACATTTACTCAGAATAAAAGCTCAGCAAGACTGTTATTTCCAGAAGTGTGCAAAGATTAGTCTGGGTTGTGAAACTCTTCTCAAGCACATCAACCAAACCAACAAACAGGAACAAGCAGCCCTGCTGTTGCTCACAAAATCCTGTCAAAAAACACCCCACCTGCTCCTAACAACCCAGATCATTGTCTCAAGTTTTGCCTGTGCTCTCAGGAACTGACAAAAATCTAGGAACCTCCGAGTAAAAAAAACAACACCACTGCAGAACTGACAATTTTACAGAGCAGATGCCCAGGACTCTGACACAAAAATGCAATTTTCAGAGCAAAATGATGGATGTCAATTGCCCAAGCTTCTCATCCTGATACCAACAAGCAGCTCTGCTACAAGCACTTTAGTTTTTGGACCATATGCCAGGGTGGAAAACATACAGCCCTCCAGACTGGACTGGAACTCCCATCAGCCCCAGCCAGCATAGCCAGTTAGTGAGGGTGATGGGTGTTATGTACTTACCATAAGTACAGAAAGAAGTTATATGCAGTTTGAAAGCTTGTCTACCAAACTCCCACTTTTTTGGCAGTCTATAATTGAAAGCGCAACACTCTTACCAGCCAAAATGCTTCCACGTAGATTGTCCAAAGCTGAGCAACAATCCACACCCAAAAGCGAAACCCAAGAAGCAGGCACGAACGGCAATCTGAAAGGCAAATGCAGACAGGGAGTCAGCCACTAGTCAGTCACAGGGGTCAACCCTTGGCTTCAAAGGACCCCAAGATGCTGCTCCTGAAGACACTGGTACTGATACCAAGTCTCCAAAGGGTGAGTGGCAGGCTTCTCTCCCATGTACACTATGGAAGGGATCAGACCCTGATCGGGAAGATGCCCTGACCCAGACAGCGAAGGGTAGGTGCTGGGCAGCAGGGTCTGGCCCCACCCTTCTCAGGCAGATGACATGGCTGACCCGCGCTCTGCAACTCACCTGTTGGCAGGATAATTCAGAAGAAACCCTCATAGGGTCATTTGGCAGGGACTGGTTTGGAAGGGGAAAGTCCTGAGGAGCTTGTGGGGCTGGCTCCACCCCACTGGCTTCCAGGAGGGCCGAGAAAGGAACAAGGGCCCTTGGGTCCCTGCTTTCCTGCTGCAGCCGGAGACACTGGCTCGAAAGAGGCTGCGCCGCGCCCAGAAAGACCCTTCTTCTGCCCGCCCCCCATAGGCCCCAGCCTGCACCTCCATTGTCCGGGCAGCTTTCAACTTCTAGCGGGCGCCAGGCGGGCCCGAGTCCCCCGGCCCCTCACCTGGTACATTCCCCCCGGGGAGCGGCCCCAGGCTAGCAGCAGCGCGGCGTTGACGCCGGCCACATGGAGCGCCAGCGCGGCGCGGCCCTGGAAGCCCGGCCCGGCCAACAGGGCCGGCGGCGGCGCCGAAAGCAGCAGCGGCACGGCGGCCACAGAGCCGCCCAGCACGAAGGCCGTCAAGCTGGTGCGCGCCTCAGGCCCGCGCCGCGCCCCGCCGCCGCCACCCCGATCCGGCCTCCTTTCTGCGCCCGCCATAACGGACCAGCGGCGAGGCCAGCCCGCTCTCGCGAGAGCCATTCGCGCGACCATAGAGCCGGGCGCTCTAGCCCGGCGTGGCGTCAGCCCTTACGAGAGGAGCGGGGGGGGGGAGGCGAGCCGAGCCGCAGAGATAGAAAAGTGTAGAGGAGTGCGTGTAGGCGCCTTCCGAGTGCGAGGAGGAAGGAAGCCGCGTGACACTCCGCCGGAGCGGCCGTCAGTGGGCGCATCCTTCTGCAGCAGAGAGTCCTCCCGGCGCGCCGGACTGCAACTCCCGTCTTCCGCAGACAGCGCGTTATGGGGCGTGGACGAGCGGGATTACGCTCGGGGCGACCTGCCCGGCCTGCCGCGCCTCAGCTGCTCACCTTCTACTCCCGCCGCCCCGATCATCGCCCGACGGTGGAGTGAGCGAGTGGACTGGCCGGAGGCTTGGGCCGGGCAGGAGAAAGGTCGCAGCCTTTCTTTTGGGAGGGCCCCAAAATACCAGTGGCAGGGAGGACCTGATCCTCAGGCCCGGGTGTGGGTGGTCCTGACTGGGCAGTGCAGCAATACAAAATAAGCACAGTGTAACTAATGATAAAAATTATAGCTCCAAAAAGCATCTCTCTAAAAGGAACAAAATTTCAAAACAGCCGTATTAAACTAAAATGCTCAATAAATAAAATCTCTGTTCAAGTTACCACAATTACGGCTACCTTTCCATCTGTGCCCAGACAAATGACCTTTTTACACCCTTCGGGACTTGATGCTGTGCCTCTTTTCTGGTGACTTGCGTAGCAAGAGCAAGAAGCTCTCATTTGAAGCCACATGGTGTCCATTGCGAGTTTTCTCCCAGGCGCTCCTTTCCCAACTTTCCCTCCTGTATGGCCATTGGAGCGTGATGGGAGTTGTAGTCCATCACATCTGGAGGACACTCAGCCCTGGATGGCGATCCTGCTGGCCCCTGCGAGGGCTTCCCATGGCTGCTTGGCGTGCCTCCAGTGCCACCTTGCTCCCGCCACAAGTGCCACGGTCCTTTGCCGCCGCTCCCCGTGCCAGCTCCGCCCTGAGGGAGAGGTGGGCAAAGCTCCCCACACTCTGCCTCTCTGCCTCCAGCTTCTTCTCCCTCGGCCAGAAAGGGCACCACGAGCCGGCCATTGTCAGCCCGGGCTAAGGCGTGTGCCTCGGCAAGGGCCCAGTGAAGCCGCTGCCCTGCCTTGCCCCTGCTGTCCTCCCCGCAAGAGGGACAAGCGGTGCACGGGGGCAGTTTGGGGCTCTGCTCGTCACGGTCTGGCTGGGGGCACTCTTGGAGGTGGTCACCCCATGAAGCTGACTGGGGGAAGGCCAGGGACAGAGCAAAGGAAGCCCTCCCCCCCACAGTGCGGAATTGAAAGGTGGGGTTGGCTGCCGCAGCTGCAGCAGCTGCACCGATTTGGGTGGCTTTAAAAGGGGACTGGAGGAGGGCCCATGCAGAGCTCCTGGTCCTGGCAGTGGGCTCGTGTGCTCCAGGTGCTGGGGAACATGGACAGGAGGGGCCTGCGGCATCCATGCCCTGCTGCAGGGTCTGCTAGGCGGCCGCCGCAGGGACAGGCCTCTGGCCAGGCAGCCGCGTGCTGCACTCCAGCCCCGGGTCCCTCTGCTGCTCTCTGGCGCAGCGCTTTGCCTCACTGGGGTCAGCAGCCCTGCTGGCCTCGCTAGCCTCCATGGCAGGAGTTGCGGTCGCACTCACCAGGAGGCCCCCGGTGTATGGAGGGCTCCCTTTGTGGACTGGAAGCCCCTTTCTTCCACCTGCACAAGCAGCAGAGGGGCTTGTGTGCCAATTTTGAAAGAAGCAGGAAAAGGCCGCCAACCCTTCTTGGGCTTTCCCCTCCTGTCTGAGAGTTTGGTCCTTCATCTTCCAGTCATGTGCCTGAGGAAGGGTTGCCCTCTCGCAGCTGGCAGGCGGGTACCAGCCCTTTTGCCCAGTTGCTGTTTTTGGCAGCAGAGCGGCTTGTAGCCACTCGGCCGGCAGCAGTTTCCCAGTGCAAAGATGGGCAAGGCCGCTTCATCCTTGGGGTTCCTGCATGCTGAGACGTGCTGGCCCAGGAACTGGGAGCTTTCAGGGAAACGCCAGAAAAAGTCCAGGCAAGCAACTGTGGCCTTGCTCCCCAAAAGCAAAATCAAGGCCAGCCGAGCTTGATGGAACCATCTCTTGGAATTCAAGATTCCAGCTGTAGATCAGAAATACAATTAAATAAAGCACACAAATAAGAAGTTCTCTTTGAAAGAAAGCTCACTGGTCCCCGGCCCCCTTTGCGTTCCAGAGAGAAGAATTCACTTGAAATAGACTTTTGGCAACAACACTGCGATGCTGCAGTCGCCACAGAAGCTTGCAGCATTTTTACAGGAGTGGACAAAGGTCCCCGACAAGGAGCATCGAGGGTGCATGTCCCAGAGGCTGGATCAGAGGCGGGATGCTGGGGACACCGGCAGGGGGCGCTGTTGCCCTCGGGTCCCGCTGGTGGGCTGGGCACTTGCACCTGGCCGGCTACTGTGTCCGAATGCCGGCCGAGAATGCACAGCTCTGCCGACACTCCTCGCTCTCGAGGAGCTTCCCCTCTGCAAACAGTGGCATTGCTGCTGAACCAACATTGATCCCTCCATTGCTGCTCCCTGCCACTTTTTCAGACTTTTGCTGCTCGCCAGTATTTGAATGCCAATCTAAATTAGATGCATATATAGTCCTTAAGTGCTGATCTTCTGACTCCATATGCAAGCCTATGCACCCGACTTGGGAGTAAGTTCCACTGACCAGAATAAGACTTACGTCTGAGAAGATACACAGAGGATTGCTTTGTTTGTTCATATTAGACAGTTTTGATTTAGTTTGCCACCCTGCAGGTTGTTTATAGAGAAAGGAGAAAGAACAATAGTGTGAATAAAAGGAGTCTAGTGCTGGTGCAATCCTGCATCTCCTGCCTTCCCAGCTTCCACAGTCACTAATGGCACCGCTCTACCCATGCTTACTCAAGGGTGAGTCTCGCTTGTCTGGGGGAACTTGCCCTGCAGGAAGCATCCTGAGAGCTGCAGTCCAAAGGGAATGATTTCTGAGCAGTGCAATTGGACAGGTGTCCACTCAGGCAGCCAGTGTGGCGCAGTGGTCAGACTGGGACTTGGGAGACCGAGTTCTAGCCCTTGCTCAGCCACAAACTGCTCTGGGCGGCTCTGGGCCAGTCCCTGAATCTCACCCTGACCTTTCTCACAGGGCCGTTGTGAGGATAAAAGGGAGACGAGAGCGGTGGAAGTCATTTTCAGTTCCTGTCCGGAAAAGGCAGGATGCAACTACCATAATTCAAACAAGGGCCAGGCAGGCAAGGTCTCGAGGCAGCTGGTTTCCCCAGATTTCAGCCAGGCCGTTGACAAAGTGCTGCATGACACCCTGGCTGAGAAATTGACGAGTTTTGGGGTAGACTGATGCACCGGGCGATGGACTGGGGCCTCGGACTACAGCCCGCGGGAGGGATCTGCCCGGCCACGGCCATCCATGTGGCCCAGGCCGCTGTCCGCTGCCCACGCGCCCTTTGCTGCGTGGGCGGGGAGGTGGTGGCTTGCTCACCGGGAGACGGTCTCCATCCGAGCGAGCTGCCTCCCCTAGGTACGTGCTCGCTGCTGCCTCGCAGCACGGGGAGCGGGGGAGCTGGGGGCTCGCTCGATCTGAGATGGTCTTCGAGCGAGCGAGCGAGCGATCGAGCCACCGCCTGCCTCCCGTACGCATGCACTTTCTGCTGCCTCGCAGTGCAGGGAGGCGGGGAGGTGGTGACTCGCTAGATTGGAGATGGTCTCCGAGCGAGCAAGTCACTGCCGCACGTGCCCAATGCCGCCTTGTGCACGCCCAACGGCACCTCACCGGCCCGCGCCCCCAGGCACCCCCACCTCACCGGCCTGCGCGGGTAGCCTCCGCCTTTCAACTGGTCCCCGTCGAAAAAGTTTGAGGGCCCCTGGTTTAGGGCATGGCTGACAGTTCGAAAGCAGAGGCTAACTATTAGTGGGGAATCTTCAGGATAGGAGCCGATGACAAGCAGAGTCCCCCAGCACTCAGTTCTGGGACTGATTCTGTTCGACCTTTTTATCAATGACCTGGAGGAGAGGATGACCAGCCTGCTGACTAAATTCGCAGAAGATACAAAAGTGGGGGTGGTGGCCACACCTGAGGTGATCCAGACCCAGCAGGTGATCCAGATCCAGCAGGTGATCCAGATCCAGAAGGCTCTGGACAGACTATGGAAGTGGGCAGGAGACAACAGGATGGCGTTCAGTGTGGGTAAGTGCAAGGTCTTGCACTTGGGGCACAGGAACAGATGTTACAGGTACAGGATAGGGGACAAGTGGCTGGAGAGTCGCACTTGTGAAGAGGATCTCAGGGTGCTGGTTGACAGCAGCTGAACATGAGCCAGCAGTGTGATGTGAAGATTAAGAGGATAAATGCCACCCTTGGATGTATAGCAAAAAGTGTGGCTTCTAGATCTACACAGGTGTTGATACTGTTCTACATGACTCTGGTGTGCCCGCAAATGGAGTACTGCATCAAGTTCTGGGCTCCATGTTACAGGAGAGATGTAGCTATGCTAGAATGTAGCTGAGGGAACTGGGACTTTTCAGCCTGGAGGAGACTCAGAGGGGATCTGTTGGTGACATAGAGGTACATGAAGGGGGTCACATGGAGGTGGGTAGAGACCTGTTTTCCCCTGCAGAGGAGGGCAGGACACATTCCAATGG